TCGTTTCTATCAACAAAATGATATGAAGCTAGTCGTGGTGGATGTAGGAAAGGCTTTGGTATTTTTTTTTCGCCAAGATTTTATTTGTTTCTTGAGTACCCTGAGGTGGAAGCAACTGACAATAGAACGTACGAAAACCGACCTTTAATTGTTACCATTCAATTATAATACAAAATAGGAAATAATAAAACACTTCATTTGTCGCTCGGTAAAACTGAATACTACTTTTAAGAGATATTTAGCAACTTTACATAATATAACTATTAAAACGGAATGTTTAGCTTGGAGTCTCCGAAACATAAACTTTTAAATTTATACAAGAGGCATCATTGTCGCCCAGTGACGCTGAGAGGGATTTCTTGAGCCTGTAATCGCTGCAACATAAAAAAAAGCGTTTTTATAGTTTAATAGTTTGGTGAGAAGCAAAGTATTCACACCAGCCACAAAGAAAAAAAAGAACCAACAACGGAAATAGATGTTATAGGTCAAAATTATATTCAGGTTAAAATTTCTTTAACCTAGGTTGATTCTCTATTTCCTTTGTCTTCTGGCCCTCAGTCAAGAATAATTAGGGCAAGGAGACAAAGGAACTTAATAATTAACCCTGGTCAAATCAAAATTAACCTGAAATCAAATTTGACCTACAACGTAGACCCCTTTATGATTTCCAATCGAAATTTCCGGATGGCCTGAATGCAAAGCGCCTACTATCTGCTTTTACTGCATGATAGTCTTTGCTCTTTTTACACTCATTTGTTCCTAGTAACTCATTCCACTCCGTTGTCTTTGTCAGACTAAAGTAAAAAAAATATCGCTCTGCAACAACCTCCAAAATCGGTGGGCTGCCAAAAGTTTGATCTTGAAGCACATTATAACATTCGGTCTAACCGCCAAAATGATACAACATTTTTATATATTTTAGTTTTAATTTATATTAATATATGTGTTGGTGTAGTAATGTTTAACTATACGGTTGCTCTTTAAAGTTATTACAACCACGTTTACAGGGTTTTTCCTTTGAGAAATTGGGAGCGGCGCCCCTCCTTATATCTGACAGAAAAGCTTTGGGAGCAGGGTTGGAATTTTCAGATCCCTCGGCTTGGGGAGGGAGGCCCGCTTGTAAGCGTGAAGGTCGAGACGCCGTCGCCGTAAAGGCGTCAAGGACTTGATCTACCATCATTGTTATATAATCATTTTATTGCTAGGTAACTTCATATGGCCCAATATAACCTTAGTGGTAAAAAAAGGCCAAAAATTTTCGCGGGCAACATTAATTATATATTTATCAACATTCGCATAATTCTTATACGGCTGAAGTATACAGCAAATTTGAGGCATTCGAAATTGGTGAGATCTTCAGCGTTTAAAGATAAAAAAAAGTTCGATTCTTGGGGTTCATCATTTTTAGCTTTTTAGGTGAAGAACCTAGTAAGTTTTTTCTGGTTATGATCCGAACCACATCTTATTTTCCTCAATTCCAACCCAACGATAAGCCCTTGCCTCTAACCCGTAAGCTGTTATTCTGGAATGCCAACTAAGACACAAGTGTTCCTAGATACAATGGAAATAAAACTGAGCCTATTTAGTTTGGGAAACGACAAACTTTATAAACAAATCTTACTCCCTTGACCTTTATCAATGAAGTATTAACAAACGAATGGAATGATGTTAAGAGTATTGCAAACTTACCTCAGGAACTTCAATCTTGTCCTGTGCGTTTCCTAGTAAAGCCTTAAGACCATGTATCTCTTTTCTCTTTAATCGGACGTTGTCCAGAACATTATTTAACCGCTCAGAATGCTCCTGGTCATTTTGAACAATTTGCTTCTGTAATGTTTCTACTCGTTCTTTCAGGGCCTTGTTTTTCTTTGTCATAGTCGTGTTTTCTTTCCTGCTGCTCTCCAGCTCAATGTGCATTGTATTCATATTTGCCGACACTTGCTGCATTCTGTCGGCCATTGCACTGGTTGGTTGTTTACTGGCCAACTGAGCCATCTCCACTTCACTGGAGTTGCAATCTTTATTGACAGGGATTCTTAAAACTTCTAGCTCTCGTTTGTTTTCACTTCTTGCAAACTCGCTCATTTTTGTTTGTAGTGAATACTTTAATTCTTTAATCTCCTTCTGCCTTTGACACAATCGAGTTTCTATCTCGTCAACTTTTTGGTCCAATGAAATTTTCTGATGTCCCAACATGGATTCGCTTTCAGTTGTATTTTGTTTGTAGACTTCGAATGTTTCATCCAAGTGACCCACTCGACCCTCGACAATGTAAACCTGCTCTTCCTTTACTTGAATTCCAACATTTGCAGTCGACAGTTCTTCAAACTTTTCAAGAACCACTTTCTTTTCCGTCAATTCTCGCTGAAGCCTCTCAACGATTCCTTCCAAATAGTAAATTTTCCTTTCTTTGTCATCGCATACTTTACGCTCAAAAACATGTCTCAGATCTTCCAGTTCCTTCACTGTCTTCCCAGTTACTTTCATGTGTTCTATGAGGCCAGGATAAGCACCAAGCGCTTTGCATTTGTCGATCTTCATATATTCCAATTCTTCCCGGAGACATCGTATCTCTGCCATTTTTGTCTGAAGATTTTCTTTCAAACTCTTTCGTTCATGCTCTTTTTCAGCAATTTCTTCCTTCATGAAGTTGATGGCTCGCTCACTTTCTTGCACAAGGAACTTAAGCTTTTCACTCTCCTTGTTTAACGTCGTCAACTCTGAATCTCTTTTGAAAGCAAAATGTTTCAGTGATTTCATCTCGTCATCTTTTTGCGAGAGTATAGCAGTAAACTGCTTTAATTTATTTTGCAGAACGTCGTTCTCCGCTTCTAATTTTCTGATTTTCCCATTTGAAATACCCAGTTCTTCTTCTTCCTTCTTAAAGTATTCAATTAGCCTTTTGAGTTCGATGTCTTTCTCTTTTAATGAATAAGTGGCGCGATCTAAATCTTCCTTGAGCTGCGTCACATCAGATTGTAACTTCTCAATGGCCTTGTCCTTTTCTTCAAGATGCATTCTTACTCGATTAATCGAACCGTCTTCCTCATTTTTTGCATTTAACTGATCACTACACAAAATTTTTATCAGTCGTTGTCATCTGCTTAGATGATTCATCAAACGTTGTAATCTTTCCCCTTCCCTGTTTTAGCTTTTCTACCCGCTCCACATCTCGCGCCACTTTGTGAACAAGTTCGTTCGTCACGCCTATTTCGTGGGTTTTAGTTTTTGCAGAGTTAAGCAGCACCTCAGTTTGCCGCTCAGCGCGCTCTAATGCCGCATCTTTCTCCATCAGCTCTCTCTTTGAAAGCTGCCGTTCTTGCTGTATCTCAATCAAAGTGTCCTTAAACATATTTAGTAGCTCATCTCCTTTACAAAGAGACGCTTTGGCCTCCATTAATTCTGTCTCTCTCTGTGCAATTGTCCCCTTTGCATTCTCCAAGTCCTCGCTCATCTCCCTCAATTTTTCTTTAAACTTTTCTACATTTTCATCGCCATCGGTGACTAGTTGACGAAGTTGAATGATATCGCGTTCTTTTTCCTTTACTTGTTTTATTGCACTGCTTTTGGCTTCATCAAGTGACTTCCTTAAAAGCTTGTTACGTTTTTCCTTGGTCAGCAGCTGTCGATGCAGCTCTTCAATTCTTCCTTCTTTTTCTCCAAGTTTCTTTTCGCAATTATCCAAGTCAAATTCTTTCTCCTGTAGACATCTTTTTAGTTCGAAGAATCTGTTCTCCATTTCCTGTGCTTTTTCGTTCTTTAGATCACTTTTGTTGACTTTGCATTCCAACTGGTTGCTCTCTAAACTCAATAAGGTTCTATCCGTCAAAGCATTAATTACGTTCATTTGTTCTACCAACCGCTTATCAACAGATTGCATTATTTTATTTACATGATCTTCTTTATTTTCAACGTCTCGCTTTAATATTAGTCTGATTTGTTCCATATCCTTCTGTATTCGACTTTTTAATTCATTGCTATCTTCCTTCTCCTCTCGTACTTCCTTCTCAAAAGACTGCTTCAAGAATTTTATATCCCTTTCATTATACGAAAACCGTTTCTTTACTTTCTTATAGCACTTCTTCTCTTTTTTGCCTTTCCTCAGAATCCGTATATTTTCTTCTCTAAGTTGTCGAAGCTCGTCGTAAATGGTTCTCATTTGCTTCTCCAAATTTCTCAAGGCAAGCAACCCGGAGGGTTTCAGTTTTCCCCAAGACTGCTCTAAATCCTGCAGGATCAACGAATTTCCCATCGCAAATTCTCCTCTCTCTTTTTCATCTCGGTTTTTATACGGTTCTTTCTGATCAGAAAACTCTGTATCATAACTAACAGATGAGGCTCCCATTTCCCTGGATTTAAGCGCTTTTTTCCTGGCATTTTCCTTCCTCTCGCTCATCATAATTGAACCTTTTAACAGTTCTACTTCTTCCCGAAGATAGGAATAGTCGAATGCATCGCTAAGGTTGGTTCTTAATCTGCTCTTTAACATCTCTAATTCGACCGTAATTTTATCCATCTTCTCTGAAATCATCAACTTGGCTGCCTCACTTTGTTCACACTGTGTTGACATTAACCTAAACTTTTCCTCTAATGCTTTTCTTTCGTTCCGTTCTTGATCCAATTTCGTCTCCATTCGCATGGCATCCCGTAGACTCACTAATTCTTTTTTTCTCTGCTTTTCCCCAGCGTTCGTATCGATTGCCGCTTCCTCAGTCTCATCCTTTTCTTTTAACACAGCTTTCAGTTTGTTCTCAAGCCCATCAACTCGCTCAAGTAACTTCTCCCGTTCTATATTAGTCGAATTAACCGCTTTGTTACCATTATCCTCTAGCTGAACTTTCAGCTCTTCAATGCCTTGTTTCAAGGCTCTGAACTTGAAGTTGTTTTGCAGGTTGACAGTTTGAAGGTATTCTTCTTTTATCCGCTTTAAGTTTGTTTCACAGTCACTTTGATGCTGTTGAGAATCCTCTAGAACTTTAAGCATGATGTCTTTAACCTCATTACTCATCTGTACAAAAGAAGAAGAGACTTGTTTGATCTCTTGAGCTAAACTTAAGCCTTGTCGCTGTGTCCGACTCTCCAAATAAATTCTCATACGCCTTTTTGCCACTGAGCTCCAAAATTTTGCTGTCTGTTCTCGCATGTAAATCTTTTAGCTTCTCAAGTTCTTGAGAGAGACTTTCATTTTCGTACTTTTTCTGCTCGAGACTCTCTTTACATTCTGTTATTTCGGCCTCAAGAGCCCTTTTGCTAAACGCTGCTTCTTTCAACTCTGATTCCAGACCATCCAATCTCTCTAAAAGACTCTCATTTTCAAGGTTAACTTGCTCCACAACAAAATCCATGTTACGTCTTTGGTTAGAGTTCTCCTCTAGCTGAATTTCAAGCTCTTTGTTGTAGCTTTTCAACGCCTTGAACTCCTGGTGAAGTTCCTCTAATGAACACCCTCCTTGAGAAGTTTCCATCTCCCTGTCGCGACTTCTATTTAACTCTAATTCAGTGTTTTCTTTCTCCGAACGTAATGTTTGCATTTCACTCTCCAGATTATCAAGCTGCTCCATGAGCTTCTCATTCTCAATATTAGCCGAATTTATCATGCACTCAATGGTGTATTTTTCTTCATCTTTATCGTTCAGCTCATATCTAAGCTGATCGTTGATTTTCCTTAAAGCCTTGATCTCCGCGTGAAGGTCGTTTACGTACTGATCATCGGAATATGCTACTTTCTTGCCTGCTCGCCCGTTCTCAAAACTGAAACTCTTAGTCCGAGTATATGCTGATTTCTTCAACACCTCAGGCATGGTAGTTTTCACTTTCTTAATTTCGCAGTCTTTCCTAGTATTTGAAGATTCATCGATTGCTTGGTCTGTCACATTATATAGGCTATCATCTCTAATTAAATGCTCTCCCTTTTCCTGTGTTACAAAGCCATGATGAGAAGCATTTTCGTTATCACGGCTATTTTGTTCAGAAACTGCAGGGCCACATTCTTTATCATCGTCTTCTCCCTCGGTGGAATGAAACGTTTCACCACTTCCGTATCCCTGTGCCGCCTTAAGGACATTTCCGTTCCCAAAAGTCATCGAGGCGGCTTGTTCATCAAACGTTTTCTGTTGTTCCACGTAATCTTCTTGAATTATGTCAGTTTCGGTTCCCTCTTTCATAGTTTGGAACTCTTTCTGCTCGGCATTGTCTAGCCTGACCTTGAAAGCAATTGATTCAGTAGCATACATCTTTTGACATGGAATTGTATCTGAATTAGATTCCAAGCATATGTCTTTCTTCTGAACTTGATCATTCCCTTTTATATCATCAGAATTGTTTTCTGAATGATGCTCATGCTCCGTGACGGGTTTCAGTAGACCTTTGCCATCGAGTTTCAGTTCATCGGTAACTGTTGTGTTAAAAAAGGTTTCATCTTTACTTGTTACCACGGTACTGGTTATAAAGAAACTCTGGGTTCCTATATCAAACTCTTCAAGATTTATTTCCTCAGAAATGCTTTCCTCTGGGATCTCTTCCTGCTCCCTGCGACGCAGGCTATCTTGTTCATCCATGGAAATGTCCTTTTTTCCTTCATCATCTGGGAGATGCACCCTGCCTTGAATACTAACAGGGGGGTTTTCAATACCATGGCTGAGGTCTTCCTCCTTAGAACCACTTATCTCGCTTGGTAAATGCAAATGTTCCTTTGCAGCAAGATTAATTTTGCCACATCGGATTGCAGCTTGTATTTCTTCCTCTGCACTATCAAGCAAATCGTCCAGATCATCAGCAAATGCCTTAGATTGTGGATCGGTTTTGAAGTCCAAATGTCTTTGGACTGTAGGAACGGAAATACCTTTCATGAGTTCATCCGCCCCAACAGAGCCATTGCCCTCTTCTGCTGTTTCCCTGTCGTTGTTAAAAAGTTCTTTCTCACGGGTGAGACTTACATCAGGAGTGATCTGTGTGTCTTCTACATTCGTCGACAAACTGCCTTGTTTAAGCAGACCATTCGATTCAGAACCTACGTTGTAATCATTCTCAGACCTAGGATCGTCCGTACAGATTTCCTCAGGTATATCTTCCTCAATACAATCATCACCGTCATCTTTACGTTCTTCAGAACCCTCATAAAACAGGTCCAAACTCATATTTTTCCACGGTCCAAACTCATATTTTTCCGTCTCCTCCGGAGTGTTTTCAGTGTCTTCAAAAAATGGTTCTTCAAATTCTCTTGAGCTAAATGGCACCAGGAACACTTCAGGCTCAATAGCTATTCGAACCCTTCTCTTTCTAGATGAGGTGTCTCTCTGGGAGCCTACAATGTCGTCGCCAGGAAAAACAATAGAAGCTCTGGAAGACTGACCAGAGGGACGGAGCAACCCAAAAATTTCGTCATCCATGCGGTCTAGTTCTTCGTCATCAAAATGTTTCCTTTCACTGCCCATTTCAGCGTCGCCAAAATAGTGTTGGCGTTCGTATTCAATGGTTTCACAGTCTTCAAACATTTCGTCCCTTAGTGCTTTACACTCTGTCTCACTTGCAGGATCATCATCAAACAGTGCCCAGCTGCTCCTTCGTCTCCGTAAAGACCCTCTGGTGATGATGTCTGTAGATTCTTCGCATGATACTGGCTGGTTTTCGAGATCACTGATGTCCGAGATAGTGTCATCTTCGTTGTCACGGGGAATCTTTTCCTGACCCAAGGACTGATTTGAGTCCTTGCATTCGCTAATATTAATGCTGGGTGGTGACAAGTTAAACTCAAATGTTGGAGTTCGTTCCTCTATTGAAGACGACACCTCCTCATCGTCTCCTTCCTCGAAGCTGTCATCTGAGTAATTGTTTTCTACCTCCTCTTCCTTTCTATCCACCGCAAGCTGTTCTTTCAACTGTATTGAGCCTACCTCTTCCTCCCTTGAAAATAAGAATAACATAGGAAATTGAGTTGTCAGTGGTATTTGCACTTGAAGGATGACAAAATGAATAAGTATACTGCTAACTCAAAGAAGGCTGACATCGATCAGCAAAACGCAATATTTCCTTTTTACCTTAGCAGAAAACAAATGCACGAAAACTTTCATGAAGCCAAGACAATACAGACTGGTACGATAAAAATTTCTAAACAAAGCAAATCAGACCTTTTTATTCGTATGTATGCATGTTTCATGATTGAACGTTGTTATTTGTTGACGCAATTAACTCTCAGTGACACTCTGTGGTCTAAACATCATGTCATACGTACTTGTTGTTTTCACAAGTGACCTGGTCATCCTCTACTACACCATTAAACTCCGCGACCAAACGTTTGTCCTGATGAGAGCCGATCTGTGACATTTCTGTAACAACAGCAGTCTCTGGGCTGAGCGGCAAGAGGCTTGCATCAAAAGATGGCGTATCCTCTGACAACGAGTGCTCATTATCTTTATCACTACATAAATAAATAAAAATTCAAGTGAGTACAAAGGAACAGATACATAAGTTGGCCGAATTTTGTAGTATATCGTGTTTGTCACCTTTTTTCAACGCTTTTGAATATTTACATACTTTTAGCGGTGTATAATAAGGGGTTAAAAACCATGGAAAACCATTAACCATCAGAACCAAAAGGTGGTCGCGGTCGCTTACAAGAGGTGGTGGTTTACTAGAGGTTCCAACTGTAAGGTTTTGACTGGGAAAATTTTGGTATTTTGAGTTGGAGATCGCTTATGGGAGGTGATCGCAAATGGAGGTTCGACTGTATATATGTTTATTCATGGACGGGCGAATTGCTTTAGGCTATGTTCATACAACGGATAGCGTTTCATGGCGCCACGAGAAGCTATCCATTATAGTATGAACAGCCTTAGGCGCCGGATGAGGCGACACAAGTTGTTCACAACACATCGAACGTCATGCACGCGCGTTTGGCGTAGAGGGCACGGTGCCCTAAATTCCAGTCCTCACTCCTGAATATTTACTTCCGTTTCAGTGAGTCTCAGTCCTCGCTCCTTTACGTTTTCTGCCGCGACGGTGTGCGAATAGGTGTTCACACTTGACCAAAGTATGGCGCAAAAACTATCCGACACGTGACGCTCCACTTTTAACTTGAGATGCGCGCTTCGCAGCGCAGCTTTGCTCCGTCACAGAAATCGCGCTGCCAGAAGCCTTCTTATGTGTGAACAATAGTTCTATCCGGCATGATGTTCGTGGCGGTGCAAAAGCTATCCGTTACAGTGTGAAAATAGCCTCAAAAAAGATCATCGTTAGTCTAACTTACTTGGTTTCATCACCCATCTCAAATGGGGAATGATGCGCTTCTTTTTCTTCCTTAGAGACTGTTTTTTCAACTTCCTCATCTATCTCGCTTCCACCTTTCTCATGGAGTTCATCGTCCGTGAATTCCCGTACAAGACCTCTATCGCAGTTGTTGAGGAACGTTGTTTTCAATTTTTTCTGAAGAAAAGACGGTTAAAGATTTTTGCTAAATATTTTTTGAAAAAAGATCCGAACAAATTATGGCAAACTTAATATTCCATTTAATGGACCTAAATTATGGATTGAACTTAATGATGAAACATTCAAGTGTCTAACCTCCAGATTATCTAAAAAAGAAGTAACTTCGCATTTCATAGACCTTTCCCGCATTACATCTCCAGTGAGCAAACACAAAGAAGTGAGGACGAGGCTTTGGTGGACAATTTCATACAAATCACTGTATTTTATCTACCTGAGCCTCGAGTTGGTGCCTTTGTTTACAGGAATGCAGGAAAGGTCTATTAGTTTCTATTGACTTTTTACTGATATTTGGATATTTGGATATTTTATTATATTATTTCTGTTTTGTTCAGGATATTTACTTTAGTACCATTTATATAATATTTATGCATTTGGCAATGTATTTGTTCCGTAATTTATATTGTCAATTAACCAATAAGTTTTATGCCTCTGATTCCTGAAGCTGTACATATTAAATATGATATGAGCCCATGTTATGAAGAGTGCGGTGAACTCATTTGTGAACACATAAACGTATACATAACAAACACAACAGTTCAACAAGCAGCCATGTGTTATTCATCCGTAAAACTACTTTACAAAATCCCCCTTGTAGACTGGGGAGGAGAAATTCCCCAACAGGGGTATAGACGCTATAAGCTTTCGCTACACTACTCCCTCCCTTAAAGAACACTGTCCACAGTGTAAGGTGCTAGGGTGCCTAGTTTCCTTGTAGACGGCGAACTCTTGAGCCGCGAAGATACAAAAACGTACGGACGGAACTCCTGTACGCCGTCATGCACGTGGGAAGTTGTAAGTCCTAATCGTCTTGACTCTCTTTCAACTTGCCTCGAAGCATTTCCATCAAAGATCAGTTGTAACATTCTACCTGGCCGTGTTCTCTCGTGTTTTCAATTTCCAAGAGCTTACACACTTCTGGCATAACTTTGGACTCAAAGTTAGCCTCTTGATCGCTGTGTATCTCCCTTGGAAGCCCAAAACTACAGATAAATTCACCCATTAACTTCTCAGCTACCGTGGAAGCTTCTTTGTTCGGGATAAAATAGCTTTCCGCCTTTTTTGTGAAGTAGTCCGTTACGACAAGAACAAATTTATTCCCGCGAGGAGTCAATGACCACATACTGCTTTAATCTTACCCCAGTTATTTTTGGCTCCACACTCATGACAAGCTCTGACCCATTTCTTAAAGTGTGAAGTTAGTCCTGGCCAGTAGTATCGATCCCTGAGTGCTCCAAGTGTTTTGTTAACATCCCGGTGACACGCAGTAGTATGCTTATGGTGTGCTCTTAGTGCCGTCTCTTGCAAGTTCTCAGGGGAGGATGATCTCGCACTTGGTTCTGGAACCACTTTCCTCTTCCCATCTCCAACATAATACTTGAACTCGGAACTCCAGCTGGCCCATTGGGCCAAAAGTGTGTTCACAGGGCGGTCATATGGAGAAACATCCTCTAACTTCGGCCTCACAGCGCTTGCCTCCTTGAATTGGATTATGACCTTGAGGCTGGTATCCTCTCTTTGTAGGCCACTAAGGTACTCTCGAGTCAAAGATGACTCCCATCGGATGGTGTTTCATTTAGAGTCGGGCTGACTTGGTGGACAGCGTTCAGTTTTAGCTGACAAGAACTCTGTTTCACCCTGTTTGTCTTACTTTTCCGTTTACTCTGTCTCAAACCCTTCAGACTCCACCTGGGGCAGTTGACAATAGGATCTTCAACTTGTCAAATGACGACTGCCACTCAGGAGTCCAAGCATAGTCTACATGTCTGAGCTTCACTCAGTTTGTAACGCGGTCTGGTCACTTAGCAAAACTAAGAGTAAAGCGCCGATAATAGCTGGAAAGTCCTAAGAACCTCTACGTCATACGCATTCTCTGGCACTGGCCAATCGCAGACGCGTTCTTCCTTAGCCGGGTCTGTCTCGATAACACTTTCGGACACAATGTGGCCCATGTACGTGATGCTCTACTGTAACAGCACACATTTGCTTGGTTTAAGCCTAAGTCCAGCAGATTTAAACCGTGCGAAAACCTCTTAGTGTTCCATGTTCTCTACGAACGTTTCCCATACACAATGAAGTCATCTAAATAAATCAAGCAGGTCTCAAATTTAAGTCCTGACAAGATCAGTTCCATTAACCGCTAAAAAGTACTTGGTGATGACGTAGACACAAAAGGCATGACGGTCCACTCATACAATCGTTAGGAAGTCACGAAGGCAGCCTTTCCACTGCTAGCTGGATCCATGGGGACTTGCCAGTGCCCTGAACACAAATCCAACGTGCTGAATCATTTTGCAAAAGGAAAGCGCGCTCAAAGAAACGTCAATGCGTGATAGCGGATAAGCATCCTTGATAGCTATCGCATTCACTTTCCTACCACGGATTGCTTGATTTCTTAACAATGTCTCGCTGCAACAAGTCTTCAACTTGCCTCTCGATTTCTACACGCTTTGCCGGTGAGGTGCGGCGGGGATGCTGTTTGATAGGTCTTGCGTTTCCCGTATCAATGTGGTGTTTTGTCAGGTTTGTCCTGCCCAGATCTTGCTCGGATAGGGACTCGCGAGAGCACGATTGGCGCGCGCGCAAATTCCCCGGCCCTTTCCCGGCTTTCTCTTTCCCTTTTAACGCCTGCTAAACAGGAGTGTTAAGTTAGAATTGGATCGTCAACAAGAATTTATGATAGTTTAATAGGTTGATCAGCACTTAAATAACAGTATTTTATACCTGACCCTTAAGCGTATTTTTAGATTTTTTTATAGCAAACTCCCTGAATAAAAGTTTAAAAAAATGTTACCTGATTAACATTTTTCTTGCTATCCAAAGAGCTCGTCTTTTTTATTTGGGCTTGTTTTCTTAATGTACTTGCTCTTGTTTCTCGAGGACTCAGGCTAATTTTAGGCTTCTTGTTCCTTTTTCCTTCAAAAGGTGCGATTTTACTTGTCTTAGTAGACGATTCCTTTACGAGCAGTTTTTTGACTTGTCCTTGCTTCAGATTGATCCCTACCAACAAAAATGTTCACGAAAAAGAAATTGAATAAATAAATGAATGAAAAGTAATATATTAAACTTAAGTATCCTAGGTGTAATCTTGCAGAGCAAGGGAGAGAACCAACAACACGAGTCACCCATATATTGTGTCGCCTCCAGGATACAACTTCTCGGTCCAAGTGTACTACTCTCTCTCTCCAAAATGAAGGGTCCGGAAAATTCTTTTGTTATACCTCCCAAGATCTCCCAACTCAAGCGTGTTTTGAAATTGAACGAGAATGTCTAGTGTCATTTGTCAAAAACAATGCAACTCCCTCTCGATCCAAGGAACTGTAGATTCACCCGTGATAAAGTCGTGTGTAGTTGTTCACCTTGAAAACGCGGGAAATTTATATAACAGTAGCGCACGGAAAAAATTTTGTCTCCAATGGTAAATAAAAGTGTTTCCCACCTGAATCGGTCACTGTTGGTTTTGTTTTCTCATGACCATCTTCAGATACGTCACTTACGCTACTCTGGTGGAGACCTTGAATGGGAATCCGCGAAGTCCTCCTGCTGCTCCGATTGTCACGTGCTGTTCCTTCATATGAGCTGCCCTCGCTATCACTGCTAGACTGAGCTACCCTGACGGCAATTTGTGTTTTTTGTTTCTCGGGAAAAAGACTTATGCCACTGTCACTGGTGATATTTTTCGACGCCATTTGGCGCTCGCTGAGCGCGATGAACTCGCCCAAACTTATACACCGACCAACTCTTCTCGATGAAAAATTCCAACAACCTGTCACTCAGCAAATTATACTCTTTGTTGTCTGAATTATAACAATCTGTACCTAAGCCTTGGTAATCTACAAAATGGACACCTCAAAATGTTGCTGCAAATAACAGCAATGATTGGGGCACATGAAGCTACTTCTTTGCATCAGTTTCGTCATAAAGACTATTTAATTCGAATATTGCGCGCGCAAGATCTACAGAGAAATGCAGACGCGCTGTTTCTTCGAACATTAATGTTACCATGGATACACTGTTATAAAAATAAAGGTAATGAAGGAGAGCAACAATGAATTTCATCCGATTACTTCGAGTCGTTATTACTCCGTCAGCAACGTCTGAATCGACCGGCCGTTAAGCCGTCCAGTGACGTCACTACTCCTTGACCTTCGCTTTTATTCATGCAAAAAGTAAAACACGATTTTCAAGTGGCAAACCGAGAAATATCGTCTGGAAATATCTGCATGATACAGAACTGCCATATTTTTTTTGATTGTAATTCATGTTTAACGTTCAAACTATCGACTGCATGCAGTACAACTCTAAACCGGTTGTACTAAATTCTGTAAGCAAACACGGTCGCAATCACGCAATGAAATAAACACACACACGGAACACTTAGTTCAAAAACACAATGATTTGCTTTAATTGAAAAGAAGCTATTTGGTCCTTAACGAAGAAAAAAAACAAGGAGACAAGAAAGAAAAGCTAACAGAATCATTACACTTGACGGTGAAAATACCAACAAGGTCGGATTATAACATTGATCTCAGAAAACTTCACGTAATCAAAATCACCACAAAGCGGCTCTAAATGAAAAACCTACCGACTCTCCGCAATGATCCTTCATTGAGTTCATTCGCAGTTCAATTCAGCTTTTCAGTTCCAAAGACAAGGGCAATTTTGCTGTTTAAGATAAAGATTAAGGTTATCGAAATGTTTGAACTAAACGAAAGAATGCCAGGGATGACATCAGCTGAATATCAAGCGACAATCCGCAAAAATTTTTCATAATTATAGATAATTATGCGAATGTTTGGACAATCAACCAATCAAATTTTGGGTAGTGAGTGACGTCGCTGAAGGACATCGAGAACGGCCGGTCGATTCAGACGTTGTTGAGAGGAGAAAAAGACTCGAAGCAATCGGATGAATTTCAGGCTACATAGGAGACAAACTTATGAAATCTAAACACTTAGTTTTCGCGGTGACTTAAACTGAGACTTTTTACATGAAGAAACTCATTTGTTTCCAATTTCCTGAGGATCAGAGAGAAAAATCAAAAATCCTGGAATGAGGATTAACGGATTAGCGATTGCGGATTAGGATATCGGTGGGAACTCGAGCCCATGAAATTCAGCCAACTCAAGACATTTCCACTTTGAACGCTTTTTTAACATCGTTTTTTGTATGCAGCTTAAAACTTGTGGATTTTAATGAATCCATTCCCGACTGTTCGACGGTCATCAACGGGCGGAAACAAAGAGAAGTGCATAGTCATGAACTGTTATGAAGCAAGAATGAATTTCCATCCACTGGGACTGGTCCGCAATCCTTATCCCACAGTCCACAGTCCACAGTCCACAGTCCACAGTCCACAGTCCATTTCTACTTACAGTACACATTGTGGTATTGCGCCTGGGGGAATCTGCAGGAGACATAGCAATCGCAGCATCACATCAGCCTGCCTAGGGACTTTGAATTCGCAATGGTTTTGCAGTGGTGGAAACCTTTTCGCAGTTTGGCTTGCTCCCTTACGGCGTCGCGATTTCTTTTCCATATTCAAACTGGACGGGGGAAATTGACTTCTTCAAGCCAACGCCTGTATTTTGGAACGAAGGGTAAGCAAAATGTTTACAAGCCAAGCAGAAATCTAGTCTCAATCTCAAGCTTTAGCTTTTAAAGTCTTTTTAGGAGTTTAATAATTGCACTGTTGGGTTGAACTTTTGTGGAAAATCACCAGATTTCATCCTACGTGGAATCTTGTTTTCCAAATTACTTGCCGTACAACAGTCACTTTTTCCTGTGTTTTACTTTCATTTCAATGGTTGTGTAAGGTGTACATGTGATTGCGTAATACAACTACGTATTAAACGATAAATGTGGGAGCATTTACATTTATTCGTTCAAGAAAGTCATCCTTTATACGCCTTCACTCATTCGTTACAAATTCTAGTGATTATTAACTTAAAATTACTAGGCATAGATCCTGTCAGTTGTGGTAGGGACCGGTGGAGCGTTGCGTGACATCCCAAGGATAACATCGACACATTTTCGACTGGTTGAAAATAATCGTACATTTAGGTGTTCCGTTCACATGGTTCCACCGTAAGTGTACGAAAATTTAGATGCCTAGCCGTTCAAACATTTGAAAGCCAAAATCGAGGTCAAATTTTTAGCCTGTATGATCTATAATTTTATGTGAACACCGTGTAACCGTCTAAATCTAAATCTTTGTACAGCATGGCTGCATGGATGCGTGGTTAAAAAATTAAAACACATGTGGGAGGTGCCTTTTGGATTTGCTATTATTTAAAAGTAGCCCGACTGTACATGGGCAGATAGTAGCATGATAGTACAACCACTGAAAAAAGTTTCAAATTCCGCCTGGTTTATCAGTTCTCTGTCAGGGTATTAGATGCAGAAGGGTACTGAATATTGAATTTTATCGGGCATCAAAATCATGAGAATCCTCTATTGACACTAGAACAGCGATTAGAACTCATGCAAAAAAAGAGTGAATTCTGCTGGCTTGACAGCCCTACTTTGCCCCATGTAAGATAATCCGGATACTAGAATCCGGGAAATATTTGCTTGTTGAATACAGAATCCTGGGCTTGGAATCCGGAATACAACTCAAGGAATCCAGAATCCCACTAACCATTAATTGGAATTCGGAATCCTTGAAGTTCCATTACGTGACAAGGATTAATCCACAGTGTAGAGTCCAGAATCCAAGGCTATCTTGGGTTCCCTTACACTGGGATGACCTACAAATATGGTAAAGATCTTTCTGCAAATATTTTATGCAAAAATGTAAAGTTAAGTCACTCTTATCACACAATCCATCATGAGATCAATCAATCAATCAATCAATCAATCAATCAATTTATCAATGTAATGGCATGGGAAAGGGTTGTCCTGAGTGTCTGAGCCCTTGCAGAGGCCCATGTATAAAATGTATGACAGAAATTAGTAAAAAAGGTTACATATGTGTAGAGCAATAATTAACAGGGGTGGATCTAGGGGGAGGGTGCAGGGGGTGCGCACCCTCCCCCCCCCGGGATGACCTGCGGTTTTCTAACACAACTAGCGGTATTCTGCAAAAAAAAAACTATGTGGTTTATTGGTGTTGAAGTAGAGCAAGGGACGAGTGCACCCCCTCCTAAAAAAAATCCTGGATCCGCCCCTGATTAATATATCAGGGAAAGTAAAAAAAAGAAGTTCTACAAGTAACACAGTACCCTCCTGCACACTCCTGTAAATATTACGGGTTGATGATTTTTTGGTTGACTGTTGACGAAGTTTTGGTCAACAGACAGTGTAGCAGCTTACTCTATTTAACTGAAGTCAATTTTGAATACTCAACCAACAGACTGTTAATTACACTCAGCTGATATCGGTCAAGATCTTTTGAATGTTTAATTTTGTAGCAAAAGATTGGAAGGTGAAGTAATCCGATGAGAGACTTCTTTAAGTAGTGACTGTGTTGTGTTTTTGCACAACATTGCCGCTGATTTCTTACCATGGGGCCTGGGTACAAGACCATGTATTATGGAATTATCAACATAAGATGGCAGTAATTAGCATGCAATTTGTGGTTATAGACTCACATAGTCAAAAAGAGCAGTGTGAGCTTATATACCTGCCAACTATTTCTGAGTCAAATGCGTAAGCTTTTCGTCTTGTCATGACTGGAATTTCCGAACATTCCCGACGATTTTCTGAAGACTTCCGAACATCGCTGAAAATGTCCAAAGATGTTCCGAAAACTTTTTCAATGACGACATTTTAGTTTGTTGTGATAAAGTTAAGCGCCTTTTTGGATTATTTTCGGGAATATTGAATTTAATTTTCCTTATTATACATGTGTTAAAGAACAATTCATCTGGATTTGTAAGTCAGGCATGAGAAATTGTCTTTGATGCATGAGATTGATGTCTGTAGTCTGCAGGTGTGACACTCAGGCGCCATGATCAATTTTTATGATTAAGATTTTGTAATTTCTATGGCATGTTTTCAATTCTGGATTTTAACTTTTTCAATACATTGCTTGACATGATGGTCACCTTTGTTGACGTTTGAAATGGCAGTAGTTAAAAGGGGATTAGTCAGGATAGGCTAAAAGAATGTAATCAACGCAACTGCTAAGTGTTTTCTTTTGATTAAGTTGGCCATCTGTCGATATTTAACTTTGAAACGAACCCTACAGCTTTTTTTGGTGTTTGACTTTGTGAGAAATCAGTTGCCAACTCATGAGAGCGTGAGATAGGTGGTGAAATAGTAAGACTCACAACAAAGTCGTGCAGATGTGGCAAGTTTGTGGTCTGCTCTTTCTGCCTATCTGGGTCTTCTGTTGATAATTGTATAATACATGAACTTGCATCTTTTCCCCCAGGGTATGAAAACATGCAGTGTGTTTTTTATAGCTCTCTAAGGGTGATGAATAGAAAAAAAAGGAGTGCAGTTTCTGCTTTCAGTATAAGGGTTTTGTTTAAATTCCGTATTTTAATGCTTTACGATCACGATGTTATAGAATTACAACAAAAACTGAACATAAGTTCAACACGCTTCCCTGGTCTTCCTACACTCGTAACCGAGCACGCAAGTCACATGGTATTGTGGGATGTCCAATTCAATACATAAAACTTCTGGTTAACTCAAACATCCGGTTTTAATACACTACAGGTTTGGCTCAGCAGAAGTTAAGGTCGGGTTGGACATGGGACAAAAAAGGGAATCTTCTCAAATAACTTTACTTATCTAATAATTAACTACTGTTTGCTATTGCATTTAGCAGGTTTAAGAAAATGGAGTCCTTTAACATGGTATAATGAAATGCTGGAAAAGCATCCCATCAGGACTAAGTGTATTACCTCAGGAGGTATTGAAACTGGTTTGATTTTGTTGTGTTAGTGGCAGAAACATTATTACCCAATGTATTTGTGTTGTTAAATGTATCATTTGAATACATGCAAGTGGTTTTGTTCTGTTTAACGTTTATCTGTTTTTCTTCTCTGCAGTATTATTTGCGATGGGAGATTTCATAGCACAGAAAACTGCTGCTGGTAAAAATAGTAGCTTGGATGATAAGGTATTGTTATACTTGATAACATTCTCTTTGCTAACTATTTAATAATGTTGGGAAAATCTGTTGTTTTTTTTCTTTCATAAAAAATTAATGCGAGGTGTTTATGTAGAGGTGTGGGATGCATTGTGCAAATATATATTAATCAGTGTGCAAAGAAAGTGTCTAATAGCCTGCACTGGGGCCAGTGGATTTTGCTATCGGGCTAGTCAATCCTGTTCTTAACTTGCCTGAAGGGCAAGTGATGTTTTTTTAGCAATTCGAATAAAGAAAGAACTGTGAAATCAATTCTGTTTGTCAAAAAGCTTTCAGGGCTAGTTGATATGACAGTTGAGTTGGCTTCAGCTTGCCTGAATGGTAAGCTGTAAAAATGATTTTCTTTGCACCCTTTTAATGCTGTAGTTATGTACATGACAGTTCTCCCATCTTCTAATCATTTACTAACCACTATATGGGATACATAATTTACTTGTATGATCCCCTTTTCATGAGAGTGCCACACATAGGGATAAGTGTAGTGCAACCTATCATCATCTGCACTGTACTGGTTGGGTTTTGTATAAAGACGAATACAGTTGTCATTGATAAACTAAACAAACAAAATGAGAGAAAGATTAACTCAATAGTCCAGTTTCATTACTGAATCTAAAATATTTTAAAATACATTCCTCTCCCAGATGAGCTATACATAAAAAAGTGAAATAAACGCCACGGTTCTTTTTTGAGTCAGTATAATGTTGGGTAAAGTATAGAACTAGTTATAGAACTAGTTTGATACCATGAAAAATCAAATGGTAAATTAAAGCTACTCTTGTTTCTCAATTCGAGGTGAGGTCTAGGCTTAATTTAAAGGTAGTCACTTGGATTATTAGTTTTTGAGGGGAAGACTGGGTGATATGATTTTAATTCTGGGGGGCTGGGGTGGGGTATATTTTACTGATGTTACCAGACCTTTTCAAAATTAACGTCATAATTTGCTAATCACGAGTAACGATGAATATATATTATTTTGCCCAACAGCGACTGTTAAGAGCGATCATATATGGATCGGGTACTGCTCCACTCGCTCATGTCCATTTTAACTTTCTGGAATGGCTAGTTGTAAAGAAGGTAGGAAATAGACTTAAGCGGTGAAAGTACCTAGTTTTCTGGAAAAATACACTTGTGAGCTTAAAACAGCCAAAGCTCCAATTAAAATGATAAATCGGTTGGGAAAAAAGCAGAGCATTTTCGATTAACCCATACATTCACACTAACAGCCCGCGCGGTCCCTGGTATCACTTGTGACGTCGTTAGTTTGAACAGACCTAGCAGTGCGCCAAAATCTATGTCCAATCGTCCGGGACAGGTAGAAATTTAGCTCGGACATGTAAACCTTTGAAATGACTTCTCCGTTGGACAAGCACATTTTTAATTAGAAAAGATACGTAGAATTTCGGCAGAATTACTTCTGCTAAATGAGAACTTTACATCTTAAAAGATGTAAAGTTCTCATTTCCAGGCTCAAAATTCGAGTTGATATTAAATGGCGGAATCACAAGAAGTCGAAAAATAACAGTCTTCATTGTTAGTTTTTCCTTCAAAGCAACCGAGAAGAGAAAAAGTCTTGGATGCTAGCAAAGAGTTAAGTGAATCAAGAGAAGATCATTAAATGCCCGAGTTTCGAGCAAAACCTTTTGGACAAGAACTTTAGGGTTTCAGACAACCAAAATTGATGTAGTGCTTGTCCGAAGGACAAGTGGATAAGAAAATTAAATTAAAGGATGCATTGTCTTCGAATATTGCTTCCCCGTTCTCCCTGTTTCATAAAGACAAACGAACCGGTTGTACAAAGGTTCAAAGGTACTTTCAGCAAATTTCAGGTTTTCTGCCTAACACTTCACTAAAGATAATTCTTTTTTCGAACCCCCTTTTCTTTTTTTTTTTTGGGGGGGGGGGGGGGGGCAACTGCGCTCTTGCCCTTCCTCTGGTTACGGCTATGCATGTATTCCGGATTTCCCTCTCACCAAGCTAAACAAAAGTAGAGCTTGATCTAAGGTTACCTAGTGCTCGACCAAAAGCGTTTGTGGCAGTTTTAGTCTTGCTCTCGTGGCGGAGTCGGTTTATTTTCTTGGATAGTTTTTATAGAGCGCGCGAGGGAAATATACTTTTTTTTGCCAGATAGTGATCAAAAACGCTGGTTATTAACATGCCAGATACAAGGATCTTGAAACTCAACAGTTTTATGGCTCGTCAAAGGACGAAACGAACGGTATAACCATTTGTGAAATAATTGTTCCCAAGACAACGAAATACACTCTTTTTATAGGAAACTTTATTGTAAGATCAGTCTGAAATTTTCCAAAAAATTTTAAGTTAATAGAAGGTGCTAAGAACATACACGAGGCTCAGAAAAAAACAATTTATTTTTCACTGCCTTTACTTTTCTTAATTTAAGAAAAACTGAATTGTCAGATTTCCGTCACTGAAATTCAAGAACATGCGTAAGAACATTTCCAGGCTGAAACTGCCCAGAAAAAAAGAACGGTTCAGGCTTAACTCGAAAAATGGACGTTCTTATAAAAAAGAGTGTATACCAGGAAGAAAAACGGGTGTCAGTTAAAGGCGATGTCGGGGCCGGGATCTGGGTCTATCTGTTTTAAGGTTAGGGTTAAAGTTAGGCTTGACACTAACCCTAACCCTAAATAACCCTAATCTGACCCTAATCCTAACCTTAAAACAATATTCTTAAAAAAAAAGGTAGACCCCTACCCTGGCCCCGACCCCGCGTTTTACTGACAGTAGACACCCAAGAAAAACACTGTTTACTGGGATTTTTTCCCACGAATGTTAAGTTAAGGTATCACGACATTAGTTACTCGGTATTTAAAGGTTTTAATTAATTTTTTAAAATTAATTCTATCTACGAAATGACCGCCCGCCACTGCTAAATTCATAAGGACGATCAGAGATAGCAGGTGTAAAATGGGTGGTACTAATTGATATTTATTGCCATCTGAAAAGTAAACGGCAGGTGAACAAAACCAAAAGTAAAAGTTGTAAAGCTTGAGTGTCGTGTTCTGATGTATGCTAACTAAGCTTTTTTTTTCCACTTCCTCGCTTAAAGTTTTGTAATCCAAATCACCCTTATCGTTTGCTTGGAATTCCAGTGATAAACCAGTGAAGGACTTTTTGATGGTGTCTTTCGAAGATGCGTATATCATTTTGTCTCCAATCTTTGCATTTTCGTCACACCTAAAGCGAAAAAGGGAAATGAGATGAAACGGGCTGGCTCGGCTCATGCCTTGTTTCCTTATAAAATTGTTGCTGTGTCGTATGAGAAGGTTGGCTGCCCCGTTTGCCGAGATCGTGGTTGCTTGAAGGAAGATCTCACCAAGCGGGCCAGCCAGCCTTCTCATATAAACACAACCACAATTTTCTAAGAAAACAAGGCATGAGCCGACCCAGCATGGTAAAGCAGGCCATGCTGCATAAACAGTGCCTTAGTAGAAATGAGAACCAGGTAGAAGGGTCTACTCCATCATACAAACTAAAGCTAAAGAGATGTACCCAACATCTTTTTGATTTAATAATCTCTTCATGAGTGCATACATCAATTCAGGGAGCAAGGGTGTCGCCGTGGTGAGAGCAGTGGTGAGAGCACTCGCCTCCCACGAATGTGGCCCAGGCTTCAAGTCCCGGCGTCGACGCCATATGTGGGTTGGCTTTGTTTTTGGTTCTCTCCTTTGCACGGAGAGTTTTTTTTTCGGGTTTTCCGGTATTTTTTCCCCCTCCAACAATCTATTTTTCACTGGGTCATAAACGGAGTCAGAAGAAAATAGAAATATTCTGATTCTTCTGACTTCAATTCTGCAGCCTGCGTGGTAAGTGTTCGAAAGGGAATCGGAAGGGAATTTTAGGGACAGGGGGGCGGAAGGGGAAGGCCTACTAGGGCGTCATTATTGTCGTCGCCATCCCGCCTACTTATTGTGTATGCAAAAATAACGCAACTGTGAGCGTCTCACCATCTGTTACTGCAACCATCTATTACTGCTGGTTAAGGTATTCATTATTTTTACATTTCTCTGGTGGATGTGAAAAATGAAAAAGACCAGAAAATCCCGTTCCCCTTTCCTTTCAAAGGTTAGCATTAGGTAACATCGGCTGAAGTCAGATTGTTTCTTTCGGTAAAATTACATGAAGAACAACTTAAGTCCAACTTTAGTGTGTAATATAAAACGAAATAGAAAAAATCCACTGTAATGCTTTGAACCCGGGTCACTTGCTTTATAGGCTACATCCATATCCACCACACCATCGAGGACTAGCTGCCAAATCTAATAATTTTTAAAATATAATGTTCTTAGTGCTTAACCCTAATCACTGCAGACCAGTGCTTAACTCTCTACTGTGTTGTCTCCATAACTGGAGCTCTGTAGTTTTGGTTTCTTCAGCTTTTCTAGCCTCATTCTACATTCCAGTCTCGTTCCATTATGGAAATAATGCGTTGTGTAAAATTCATAAGGTGTCCAATCTGGCTTCACTCGATGTTATCTAACGCTAACCCCTTTCAAACGCCACGCAGACTACCAATAGCCCATGTTCGATATATTAAAATTCTAACATGACTCCGAGGCTTTCTGGTCATTTTTCTATATTTGGTTTTATTTTCTTTGTGCTCAAGTCGCCTCTGGGAATTGCGAGACAACGGATTCGTGAAAATTTGGAATTTTGACCCTAAAGCCTCGGAGTCATCTCAGAATTTTAAAATATCGAATGTGGGCTATTCTGCAGACTTGCCACAAGTCGACTGCGTGAGCGCCGAAGGCGCGAGGGACGCTGGCGAAGCCAGCAAAAGCGAGCGACGAATTACTCTGTTGCAGTTATAACTCCGCTTACGACTCAAAGCTTTGATTTTCACTAGGTTAATAAAATAAAATGCTCTTACAACTCTGACTCTGTCGAACAAGTAAAATCCGGCCTAAAATGTCTTGAGACTAAAGGAAAATTTTATGCCCCGGTCACGAATTAAAAATGCAGAGACAAACTCACTCACCAATAGATGAATGCCAACTTATTAACTTTCCGGTCATCCTTCATCATAATTCCAAAATCATACAAAATATATGGTAGCTCTTTGCTGAGTTGCTCCTTCATTTTTAAACGGTGCTTCATCTTCTTCTTTTGCTTGTGTTATGCATGGATCACCACGCACGTCAGCAACAATTTTCTCCTTTCCTTCAATTTTAAAAAATGCAAACTTGTGTGTGCTTCTCAACCTCATATCATTAAACAAACCGTTTATTTCAGCATCGACTTGTATCCCTGACATAGACTGTATCAAGAGAACAAGTAATCTAAAAAACCTTATTAAGGGCAAAGCCTCTCAACTCTGGGTATCTTCTTGTAGCGCCCAGATTCAATAGGTAGCAAGTGGAAGAAATTCGCATCCCTTGCACCCTCCCCCTAGATCCGCCCCTGTGTAAATAATAAGATGAAGAGAGACGTCCGAGTTCTCCCTTCACAGCATGGTTACTTGCTTTAGAGTGAACCCCTAAGGCCATTTTGCATACCTTGTTATGCATATTGTCGAGATTAGGCGACCCTATATTAATAATAAAAAAGGACGCCGACCGAGATTAGCGAAACTACATAAAAGGTTAATAGGTGGTTTTCATGCATCCCCGGGAGACACAATTAACAATGGTGAAATGAACAAATGCTGGTGGACAAACAAAGCGAGCTAATGAGCGATCTTTTGTTTACCGTCCACCAGCATGGCGGCGATTGACGAGTAGGCAAACACGTGAGAAATTACAGTGTTTGTATGTCTATTGAGAATCTAATGTCAAATAATTTCCTTAAAATGGTTGTTCTGAAATAAATATTGATTGTAGACTAAAGCTACAAAGCAAAGGATTGTCCTAAAAAAAATTTGGGGGAGTACCTGGGCTTGAATTTCTCCAGAGGCTTGCTTTAGATTTTTCATATTTTTGTCTGTAATTTTCCCGGGACTTGCTTACAGACAAATGTATAGAAAATGTTAAAAAGTGGTTCTAGGTCATCTATTTCATGTAACGCCCTCAAATTTTTCCAGGAGAATCCTTAGGAGTGAAGCTTTAGTTTACAAATCATATTTAGATTTAGTGTCCATTGTCCGTATTAGAGAGAGTCCGTATTACGAAGTTTTTTTTTTTTAAAGAAAATATATATGAGAATTTTATCGGGACAGTGGAAACTGTCCGTATTAGAGAGGTATCGGTACCGAGAGGTATTGTTCTTTTTTGAAACGGCAACACTAAACAACAAAACGAAATCAAGGGCTCCTGTGAACCAGCTCATGGATGAATTCGATAAGTGTAGAAAAGACAGTTCAATAAGTCAACAAGACCCTCATAATAGGAGTACATTGGTTTGTCGGCGTACCTGACAATTTGTGAGACGGAGTCAGGGCTGTGTATTACTAACTTCTACCAATGAACAAAAATAGGCAAGTTATCCTTTTGAAACAAGAAACGATGACGTGACTAGTTTGGTCTAACCTGGTCAACGTTTGGCGTTTTAAAATGCTGTTAAAAAGCAGTGAAGCAAACTATTAAGTTTTAGTTTTGTTTCTGTCTGGTATTGCATTATTAGCTGCTATATGACAGTCAACAATTTTAGCAATAATTTGCACTTTTAATTTTCAATAGCTGCTCCCGGCTTATTGTTGATTCAAGATTTCCATATGTTTCCTCGTTGCTAGATTTTTTCTAGTTTTCGTAAGGCTGTCGGAATTAGAGCTTTAGCCAAAACGCTTGAAAAACGTAAGTTTTTTACCAGGTCGATGGTGAGACATTAAGATTTGATCCTAATTGTTCGCTTCGATAATAAACATGCTCGTTTCCGTATATCTCTGGCACGTCTGATCCATTACTCGCTCATTTTTGGACACCACCACACTTGGGAAGATTTTCTTGTTCTGCAAAACTTGTGCATCAAAGTTCATCGTTGGCCGCAACCTTTTTCACAGAGTCCTTCTCTCTTCCTCCCTCGAGGATTAGAAAGGGCCCTTGGAACGAAGTTTCGTTGACTGTTAAATCCAATGACCAAGAGACTATAAAGGGGACAGAGAGGGCATCCCCCATATACACCCTATTCCATAGGTAATTCGTCTCGAGTTATTTTTAACACCACAGATCTCAAGGGGGATTAGACAACAACCAATCACATAGCGCGAATGTGTTCCGCGTGGATGACCCACGCTGAGAGCCACGCGTCTTTCTCGAAATGACGCAGAACAAAATGGGGGAAGACGCGGAGAGCGATTTTGCTATTCCTTTTGTCGACGAAAACGACTACAGCGAGATTTCTGCAAAAGCTGTTTCAGCGAAAGCGAAATTAAAAAAGAATCGCCCTTCCTCTCTTGTGTAGAGCTAACAGTAGAGCAGGGAAATCCTTAACACACTGAATATTCTCTCAGGATCATTTATAATTTACAGTTTGAAGAGAGCAAACCTTCCTAAAGCTGAATTTCAAGGGACCATATTCAAGCTCAGAAAGAGAAATAAAATTTCGTCGTTGCTTATTTACGTCCTCCATAAAACGCGAAATTAGGCACGTCGTAGTCGTGCAAAAACGGAAAGAAATGAACAAAAAAGTGTATTGCACGTGCGAAGTTGTTGTTTTGCTAATTAAACCTATTGTTTTTTTGACGTTCTAGTTGTCGTCCGCGTCGTTGGATCTTAAACTCCCTAAATTGTACAAACGACCGGTTTCAATAGACCGGCGAAATTTCTCATTTTATTAAAGCACTGAGGTTACGACAACTTCGAGTTAAACTGATTTCACGGTTGTCAAAGAGTCCAGCGATTCCTTTTTCCCAGCTGAGCGCCGACTCATTTCGCTTCAATATTCAGGAATGCTCTCGATCTTTTTACGCTTTCATTGCCTCTCGCCCGACATGTTTTGCACGGCGTTTGGTCATGCGAAACCTCCACGAAACATCCACGCCTCGCGCGAGGTAACTTTATGCCGATTCTAAAAATAACTCGAGACGAATTACCTATGGAATAGGGTGTATATGGGGGATGCCCTCTCTGTCCCCTTTATAGTCTCTTGAATGACGTCATATCTTGTACGAGGGCTGCGGCTTCCAATGCAATAAGGGGTTGAGGGCGTTTCAGGAGTGAATAGTGCTGTATATGGTGTTAAGCTGACATTGCTAAGAACATTTTATCAGATATGTATTCAGTCTTCTGAGAACAATGAGGCTGAAGTCTAAAGTCTTGATTTTCTCTTTTTAAAATAGTATATATAATATATATAACTTCATTGTAAACTTTGTATTTGAGGCATTTCCTTTTTCTTATCTTTAAGATTGCTTTTCGTGCTTCCTTCGTCCCGTTTGTCAAGATGTTTATTGACCAGTTTGGCTACTGGGCACCGTGTATAACTGCTGTTTATCATGTCAGGTAAGGTACAACCAAATGATCTGCAAGGGGTATTCGCTTTTAGTAATCAACAAAACTATACTCATCTCACTCTCTTCTCCCCAGAGACCTATTTTTGTCGTGAGGAGGTTGGGGAGAGGAAGAAAAGTGAGTGCGCGGAGGATGATGGGAAGGTGAACGAGATGAACATAGGCTACATCCAGTCTTCCTCGCAAATCCGGCGCCATGTTGAAATGCCTTACAGAGCAGAGCGGTCAGCGTTAGATCCCATCGGCCTTAACCCTTTGGTCACCTTATGAAGTTTACAAAATGTAGTATTCTTTATTGCTTCTACACTACACTTAGATGAAATTCTGCTCAGCAAATGTTCATCAAAGGGTATGTCTCTTAAATTTTTAAGGAAAAAATCATTCCGAAGAGCGTGAGTGGTTATCGAACTCGGAGTGTAGGTTCTGCAGGCCATCACCTTACCACTAGGCCACGGAGGTGATTTGATTTGAACTTATATAGCAACACTCCTAACCCTAGATAGAAGCTAACCGTTTCGAGTCAGTGCTTAACCCAAAACACTATTTTCAGGGCTTAACCCTAATCACCCTAGTCAGTGCTTAACCCCAATCACTACTTTCAGTGCTTAACCCTAATCAGTATTGCTTAATCCTAACTACTACAGCCGAAGCGATAAGGAATCCTAGGTTGTGTAAACCTCATGAGGTGTCCGAGGTGGTTTAAGCCGATGGGAGACAATGCTAATCGAGCGGAGCAGAGGCTCCCTCGTTTTCGACGTTTTAAAATCGACACTCACATGTACATCATTAAGGACTGCTATTACAATGTTAAACCGTGTTTAGTGTTGTTAACTATTTAGGTTCTAAACGCGTTTAGCTTTGGAGTGTATTGTAGGGGTTATTATGTGGAGGTGCTGAAATGATCCGCATTAAATAAAGTTCCGAATATTGCCAGGTTATTAATAGTTGTTCTCTATTACTCGCTGTATATGCCCTAGCCTGTGTTACGTAGCATGACCAAGCCTCGTTTAAAACGTCTTGTGTAAAGTAGAACTGTAGGATCTTCAGTCATTTTTTTAAAAACGCGAGTGGAATAATGAGCGCCCAGAGCGTTCTCCCGCGCCTTAAGGTTTTTTTCTCTCTTCCTTTTCAAACGGCAACCACACAGATTTTGTTTGCGCCAATACTAAAAATTGTCAGAGAGATAATAAATTATCGGAAAAAATTGATAATAATAATGATAAATACATTATCGAAAAAAAAATGATTGATTACTGCGGGAATTCTTTTTCAGTATGGGTGTTATGGAAGGCCTTACTTATAATGAAACTATGGACAGACTCAAGACACTTTACTGGCCAACACTAAAGGCATGCTGGATGATATGGCCCGCAGTCATGGTAAGTAAAATAAGCGTCAAAATTACCGGGCCTGGGCCCGGTTGCATAAAACGCCCGTAACAGTTACGGGTATACGTACGTGTACTCGTAACTTAAGTGAGTTGCATTAAATCATTTACGTGATCCACTTAGGGGTTTCACTTAAGTGGCTGCACTTACGATTTTCGTAAGTATCCACTTAAGTGTCATTTATGCAACAGAAATTGCGGGTGTTGCATAAAACCTTTTTTACGGGAAAATCAGCACTTAAATTTACGGGACCTATGTAGGTCCCGTATCCTTACTGTTTTTACTAAAGTTAACGAGATCTTTTACCGAGAAGTGAAAAAAATTGTTTTTTCTTTACGTAATTCCGTTCTTATGCGCTTTGTTAACCTCTGATGTACAATTTAAAGCCGTCGTTAAGAAAAGAGAAGAACAACAAACATTTCCAGTGGATATTGAAGTAAAATAACGATTTCATGTAAACTTTATTTGAATGAGAGGCTTAAAAGGTGTTCGAAACGACTTAACATTTTCTTTACACTCAGCGATGGTTAACTTAATTTTAAAAAATAGAGTGAGTCAAATTAATAGTTAAAAGTACTATAACAAAGTTACGTGTGCCCTTAAGTGAGCCCGTAAGTTACCACGTAAAACAGAAACTTACGAGAGTGCTAAGTGTGTTCCATGCAACACCCGTAAGTGTACCCATAACGGATTCTTAAGTGACCTACTTAAGTGGGCATTTAAGTGCAGGTTTTATGCAACCGGGCCCTGGGTTGTAATTCGCCATTTCTAGTTTGCGCACGAGACTTGGTCGTTGTTTTGTCGAATTGTATTTTGGAACTGTTTTGAGGCATCCACCGCTTCGTCCATAATAGATAGGAGAAGTGTGACCTCACGTTAGCATGGTAACAAAATTTCTGGATCACAACAGTAGGGACCTTAAGCAACGACGACGGCGACGGCAACAAGAACGGCAAAACAAGCAATAGGTTTACATTATCAAAACAACAACTTTGCACTTGCATCACACTTTTTTGTACATTTCTTAGCCGTCGTTGCACGACTGCGACATGAAACCTTCTAATTTCACGCACCGGCTTAAAGGAGGACGTGAACACACAGCACAACAATTTCCTTTTTCTTTTTCTAAACTTAGATGCGGTCCTTTCGGATTTAACCCCAGAAAATTTCCCCAACATTTGACAAATAAATGAAACTGAATAAGATCGATGAAGTTTGAAACAGTGCAACTTCACTTTTTGAGTGACGTTTTCGGTTTGGTGTCATCCAGAAATTTTGCTACCATGGCAACGTAACGTAACAAATTCTCCTCTCTATTGGCTAACACGATTATAATTTTGTCCCCAAAACAGTTCCATAGTCCATTCAATATCACTGACATCAATCCATTCTTAATAAGCGCAGTCTCCAAATGATGCATAGTAAACTGTACTAAATTTTACGATTTCGAGAGCCATTGTAGCTCTAAGAGTCTATGTACGATCGCCTGTACGACTTTGTTGGACGGCAGTTGTATCGCCAAGAGTTACTAGTTGTGTGAAGCTGTGCGCAAAGTGATAATACCTTGCAAATTGTTGTTTTCGGTGAACCAAGGAACGTGTAAAATGTTGATGACGGGCATTGACGGCAGTTTTGTTCTCGTTATTCCATTTTCATTGGGGAACGCTGGAGATTTATTTCCGAAAGCAATTAAAAAAGAGGTCATTTCTGGATTTTTGATTTTTTTGTTTGTTTGTTTGTTTCAACCCGTCGACAAAATGATCTTGGGAGCGCGTGCTTTAAAGGTATAAGAGCCTGAAGCGCAAAAGGCAGCATCGCCTTGAAGGTAACCATGACAACCAAGCGAGTGCAAACCACCCAGCACCGTCACACATAAAAATTTCAGTGGAATAATTACCACAACCCATACTTACCTATCCGAGGGGGAGGAGTGGGAGCAGAAACCAGCAGTGAAATATCTTAAGCCGTGAATCAAAACGATCCGCAAAGATCAGCAAAGCAAAGCAGGCAAAGCTGAGTCATGCAATCACATGTAAGCCCCTACAGACTGTTAAGCAAACTCGGGGGCCACCCCGTACAAGCTCGCCTGCCTGGGGCTCAAGCGCTGACCCATTAGTGATGTCTCGAGGTTAATCTTCAATCGGCCCACTCTAACTCTCTCTAACCAGTTCTGATCGTTTAATCTGCAAAGGGTATATACACCTATTTCAATTAAGGTTGCTTCTGAGAAGAAAGACGCATGATCCATGTTTCATAGCCCGCGGTGCATTATTGTAGCAAGTCTAGTCAATTATGTACCCGCAACGAACCTAGAATTAACCTAGAAAGTAAACGCTGCTAACGTTAACGCTTCTATGCTATGTCAGTAAAACGTTAAGACAAGGTATTTCAAAACACTGAATCCTAGGTTTTTTAATGTAAGACAGTGATTAGAGGTTAGGTTTTTCTCTGCGGTAATATCCAAATGCTGCAAATTTTCAACGAGTTTGCTTGACTCGTGCACGTGGGAATTTTGGATGGAGTTGAAAAAAATCTAATTCAAGGCGTTTGTCCAACAACAATAAATAACTAACACTACGTGTCTATCTATTTTTGAGGCAATTATTTTAAAACTGAGCAAAAAAAAAAAAGAATAGAATGGATTTGCTTTATTAAAATAACCAGCATTTTGGGCTGAACGCAGCTTAGTCAGGCGGTAAAACACGCTCTAATTTTTTGCCATGAGATTTTAAAAATTAAATTTTTCAGCTCGCTCATGCTGAAGAGTTTTAGCAGCCATTTGACTTGAAAGCTGTCTTGAACACCTTTTCACAAATGGTCTCCATTATTTCAAGAAACGTGAACAAGACTAAGTTTCCCACTACAAAATTGGTTTACCATAGTGCACTGCAGGCTATGAAACATGGTTCACGGGAACAACCTTAATTGAAATAGGTGTATATCCCATCACGGCAGATGTGCAAATGTGCATGTGGTTATGTTAAAATATAATCATCGTGTCAGTGTTAAGTAAAAAAAGTTCCTGGGTTAGCGTTTTTAAAGATGGCACATGACGGCCATTTTCAAAGCCTCCACTGACTGCTTTTCAATGACACTGTTTGGTAAAGAGTTCCAATCTCTGATTGTACGTGCAATAAAACTGTGTTGGTATTTGTTTGTTTTGGCACTAACTTGTATGAATTCTTAGGGTGGAATTGCCTAGTACCCTGTCGAATTTTAAATAATATATAGGGTGAAAATTGTATAGCTGATAGACCAGAAACGACTTTAAACATTATTGTGAGTCGTGCGACTTTCCTTCCTTTCTCGAGCGTTTGGCCATTTCAAATCATTCAGAATTTTCGTGACAGTTCCAGGAGTAGTATTCATTTTTAACAAAAAGTACCACTCGTCTCTGCACATTCTCGATGTCCTTTATCTGTTTTTGAATGTGTGTGTCCCATGCGCAACATCCACATTCAAGGTGTGGTCTAAATAAAGCAATATAGGCTTGCTCTTTTTCGATTTGACACTTCGCCCCATTAAGGGGCTTTGTGACGTTTTACTGACTTCCAAAGGGTAAATGAAAGCTTTTCCTCCCCAATTCCCTTCATGCAATGTTGTGCCACTGTTCGAGCTTTCTATAGAGTGGTTTCACTCACGTGGCCAGCATCTATGCAAGTTTATTGCAACCAAAGAAAGCGTTTGCATAAGAAAAGAGTATTGGTTTGGGACACCAACATGGGCGCCGTTTCATTGTTTTGGTACACCAATATGGCTGCCGTGACGTCATGTGAAAACACTCTATATAAAACAACAAACACTATTTTTGAATGAAGGGGAGGGGAAGGGGTGTGGATTCTTTTGTTCCCTGTAGTTACTCTATTTGAGTGCAATGTCTCAACAATTTTGTCGCCGATTTTTGCCTACATTACAATACACCACGTTTGATATTGACCACTCCAGAAAAAAACCATAACATACCATAATGCTCTTTGTTTGTCACCCCCAAAATTTTACATAAGCATTGTCTTCAGTTTCTCTTGGGAGTTAAAATGGCACGAAGAGAAACTGAAAACAATGGTTATGCAAAATTTTGGGGTGACAAACAAAGAGCATTATGGTATGTTATGGTTTTTTTCTGGAGTGATCAAGACTCCCAGTCTTTAGGGACAAAATTGCACATTTTCCACGACTCCATTGTCTCGCAATTCCCTGAAAAGACTTGAGCACAAACTACACGAAATGTAGAAATATAACCAGAAAGCCTCCGAGTCATGTTAGAATTTTAACATATTGAACGTGCCCTATTTAGCCACATTAAATTTGGGAAATACTTAATAGTCATTTCCAGGTTTTCCTCACTCATCTTTTTCTAATTGTCTCTGCAGATTGTTAATTTTAGGTTCATACCAGTTGCTCACCAGCTTAACTTTTGTCTGGCTGTCAGTTTGGTTTGGGCAACAATTTTGAGTGTCATACGAGCCTCTGAAGCAAGCCATGTAAAGGAAATTGAATCTATAGACGCCATATCTATAACAAACTACTCTGTAGAAGCCACTCAGCAGTGACCATGGAGCGATGGTCCTTGAAGGAAGAAGGGAAAAAAAATCCGTTGCGCAAATTTTTGCGGCAGTCATCAGTTGTCCCACTCCTACTGTTTCGCTGCTGGCTCTCTGAGGATGAGGCTAGCCATGCTCCAATTCATTGTGCCACCTTATGAAGCCAACTGGGCGGCGTGCGTTTTTGAGAAAGTAGCCTGCGAAGGAGACGCTTAAAAGTAGGAGGTAGTGGGTGCAAACGCGCCAGTTCTTTCTTGTGCCCGCTACTTCCAAGCGCCTGCTACGCAGGCTAGCGAGCAAGAGAATTTTATTGTAAATAAGACAGATTGATCATTCTTGAAAACGAAAATATAAATAAAATCTACGTTTTATGAGGCCAGTCTCTATTTTATTTTCTCTGTATAAGTACTGCTAATATTCGGCCGAATCAGGTAAGCCATGGTCATGCTTTATCCCCGTTCACTCGGCGAATCCGGACATTTTTCTTTACCCGGATTCTTGTGGACGGATTCTTAAACTTAGGGACCGGTCAAAAAGTATGGGGGGGGGGGGGGGGGTGGGCCGGAGCATTTGGAAATGTGGTTGATAAAACACACATGACCCACCCCCTCCCTTCGGCACAAAAATGACTGACCCACCCCTAAAGCAAGGTTGGAAATTGCATGACCCACCCCCTAGTTAAAACATGGATGTTTGGTTTCCTCTTAATAATCCCATAAAACCTTGTTCTGTGCTTGACAAAATTTGTTGATACACTGCTACAACCAATATCAAAATCACAGAAATCATACCTTTCACTGGAAAGACAAATGTGAAAAACCCAACATTCCTTGTTTCGATGGACGTTATGAGTCTTGACACGAATATACAGCAAAACGAGGGTATATTGAAATTGTCTGTCACAAAGCATAAGAAAATTTCTACAAAGACAACCCATTCCTACACATTACTTGCCGGAAATGCTTAGATTAATCGACCCTCAAAGAAAATTTCTTCCACTTCAATGGAAAGCACTACCTACAAAACCATGGAACTGCAATGGGCACGAAGAAAGCAGACTTGATTCCTTTGCCAATATTTTCATGACATATATTGAAACAACAACTCTAAGCAAAACTGTCTTTAGAACAACAGTTTGGAAATGCTACATGCACGATATCTTTGACCTATGGTACATGAGTAAACCAGACATCGAAGCCTTCATTGAACAATAGTTGGGTGATGTAAGTCTTACATCACCCAACTATTGAATTCAAAGCCGAAACATTTGACACTGAGACTGCGTCTTTAGACACGGTTGTAGACAAAGGCACAAGATTCAAGGAAAAATCTATCCTTGATGCAAAGACACATTTTTAGCAAAAGCAAACCTTCTTGCACACACATTTCACCTCGTGTCACCCTCCAAATGTTAAAAAAGGAGCCTTGAGAATCCTACGAAAAAACTTCGCAGAAATAACTTTTGAGGAAAATAATTCAAATTTAAAAAACAACGCTTGATGGACGGAGGCTACCCACAATCTTTGATAGAAAACATACTATCAGAAATAAAATTCACGAAAGGGAGTCTAAACTCCTAAAACAAAACAACAAGGAGGAAAAAGAAATATTGCCATTCGTGACACAATACCAGCCCTCATTGTCTACTACAAAGGAAGCTTGAATGAAAAAATGGAATCTTATACAAAACCAACTGTAACCTCAATAAATTTTTAAAGAGCCACCAATCATTTCCTTACAAAAAAAGGAAAATCATTAAAGGACATGCTCGTGAGAGCCAAAAAAAAAAAAAAAGGTTAAGGGTTCCACCCCCGTATAGATGTGCGGCCTGTCACCCTTTTGTAATTTCTCGCACAAGAGGTTTGCAAGTATTTCAGCAATAATTCCAGCTGGCTGTGTTTTATATAACAAGTTTAGTCAACTGTCTCGTTAGTAGTTAGTGCCTATCTATGTAATAAAATAGAATGACCCACCCCCTAAGAGTAGCTGAAAATTGCACGACCCACCCCTTGCACAAGGCTCAAAACCTCATGACCCACCCCCTCTCTGCTCCGGCCCCCCCCCACCCTATACTTTTTGACCAGTCCCTTATCTGGGGCCAATTTAATGAAACTTTTACAAGTGTAATTTACAAGTGTAGCCATTGTTTTAGAGTCTCAAAACAGATAGCTACACTTGAAAATTACACTTGTAAAAATTTTGTTCAATTGGACCCTGCTGGATACCGGTTTCAAAAAGTTGCGATTTCAATGACTGGATTCACTGGTTTCGTGTGGACGGAAGACCTCGTGGTCGGCAGGCGTATTTTGCAGTGCAAAAGATTTGGACGTTGGACTGACAGAGAGTTGGGGCGAGTCAAAACAAAATTCCAAGGGAGAGGTTGATCCTTAGTCTTCCAGTTGCTTTTATGATGGCGGCTGCGATGAATGTACCTCTAGGTCGCGCCAAACAAAAAAAAAAAAAACAAACGTCGGCATGGAGCGTGGGAGCCAGGTTGACAAAAGAGAAAAGATAAGATAAGATAAGAAAACAAGTCTAAAAACACGAGAAGACGTTACTTTTCCTTTCGTCGGTCTAGCGCACTGTGCTCGTCTCTCGCGTGTCTTGTTCGACTGCGTCTTTCTTCTCGCTCTGCTGAGTAAGAAAAGATTTGCACTGTAGCGTAATTTTTCCGTGCGAATGCACGTAAATTTTACGCGCATAAATGAAATAGAGGCAATGTATGAAAGGCCACGTGTAAAAGTAAAAGTTGAACCTCGCTCAACTTTCACGCTTACTCGTGACCGTCCATATATAGCCTCTACTTTATTTACGTGCGTAAAATTCACATGCGTACGCGTGTAAAAATTACGCGACAGTCCGATAATAATGCTTGCCACACAAACTTACGAGTCGGCTCCTGCTTTTGGTCCATTATTTTAAATATGGTGCTGGCTGGAACTTAGCTAAAAAAATGGGAAATGCGAGTAATGCGTCGACAACAACGACAATCGGGCGTAAGACTACCGCCTGGCGTGCGCTTATATCCGTTCCCAAGGTTTTCACTTGGATTATTAATATTTGAGGGGAGGACTGTGACATGATTTTAATTCTGAGGGGCTGGGGTGGGGTATATTTTACTGATGTTGCTACACCTTTTCAAAATTAGTACGTGTAATCAAATGGTGACGAGTGAAATTAGAGAATAATTTCACGCGCGTTTTGTCCAAATCCTAATAATTTCCCGAGGGAAATTATTAGGATTTGGACAAAACGCAAGTGATATTATTCCCTAATTTCACGAGTATACCATTTGATTACCTATTAATATCATGGGTGACGAATTACGTTAGCTATCTTGGATTTTTGACATGTTTATCCTGAGTCGTATCGATCGAGAACTCCCGCACTCTCTCGAACGTTTAGAGCTTAAATTTGGCTTAAGTTCAGAGTTTTTCGACAAAATACCTGTTAGAATCCTTCTTGATATACTCTTTCGTGTGTTCAGGTTTTCTAAAGCGTCTTTTTGTGCCCCGACATCTTCATTCCCTCGTCGCCATCTTGACACTGAAACGTACGTTAGGTTGCCATGGCAATTTTGTAATTTCATATGTGAAAATACAAATTAACGCTGAAATTTCGCGCCATAATTAGGGAGTAATTCGTCACCTATGATATTAACGTCATAGATTGCTAATCACGAGTAACGATGAATTATATATTTGCTCAACAGCGACTGTTAAGAGCGATCATATATGGATCGGGAACTGCTCCACTCGCTCATGTACATTTTAACTTTCTGGAATGGCTAGTTGTAAAGAAGGTAGGAAATAGACTAGACTTGCTACAAGTTCTTATCCCGACCGACAAAAAATCGTGCGAAGCGACTGAGCAAGCGACGAAGTCGCGAGGTTCTCATGACATCACCGGTGAATTTTTCCACCGGTAAATTTCGCGCCAAACATTTAAGAAAAGTCCTTTAAAAAGGCATAACCAACTAGGAAAAAAAATTGAAAGGAGTTTTAATCAGAAAGTCTAGAAATACACTTAAGGTGAAAGTACCTAGTTTTCTGGAAAAATACACTTGTGAGCTTAAAACAGCCAAATCTTCACATAAAATGACAAATCGGGTGAAAAAAAATCAAAGCATTTTCGATTAACTCATGCATTCTCACTAACAGCCTACGCGGTCCCTGGTATCGCTTGTGACGTCATCATTTTGAACAGTCGTAGACAATTTTGATATCTACGGCTCCTGATATCTATTATGTCTATTATTAATACCAATTAAACTGGTGTAGGCCAGGGAAGAGATATTTCAAACAATATCTGCCGCTTATCCGGATGAGCACAATTCAGTCAAATAGACAGGAGAAAAGTGCAAAAAATCACGTGAAGTTGACCTCAAAACTGCAATGAAGGCTTGAAACATGTCCTATTGCACTAACCACCTTGCATCTTAAATCCCACGATCCTATTCCCCACAGAAATGAAGCCTAGAAATGTCCAGCAAAGGGAAGAAACTGGGCAAGAAAAGCGGGAGAAGGGAGAAGAGAGAAAGCACAAAGAAAAATTTGGCGTTCTGCCCATCCCCAAAATTCAGAACCGTATGTTTGCCAGAAACAAAGGGCAGCGTAATGCTTAACATGAGATCGGGCCCAATTTCAGCCGCTTTCATACCAAGGCCATAGCTAGAAATTTTTGACTAGGGCAAATAAAGCGAGGTCTGGAGCAATGCTCTTTCAGAAAATTTTGAAATGAATGCAGCGGCATGAAAATACCAAATTGTACATAGATATGCCGTCCAAAGGAACGTTAGTCAGTCAAAGTGTAAAAGGATACGTTCTTTTAGAGCGTAAGGTTTTAAAAACTATTGATTCATCAATATCTGACCAGATCGCGGTCTAGGATCGATGTCTCCAAATGGATTTCCCTCTAAAACATCGTCATCAGTCAATTGCAGTTTTTGAAGTTAATCATGGCAAAGAGTCAACGATATTAAGACTTACTCAGGGAACCCAGTTAAAACGAAGCGGGTTCGGACCTTTGCGCAAGTTATGTTTCATTTGCTAATATAAATGGCCTCAGATTGCGGTATGTATTCCGTCTAACGTTGAATGAGGAAACGAGGAGCATCCCTAGGCCACGTGCACTCAAACGACCCTCATTCGTTGTAGAACGGTTCCACAACAGCCCAAGTTCGATATATTAAATTCTAACACGACTCCGACGCTTTCTGGTCATTTTTCTATATTTGGTTTTGTTTTCTTTGTGTTCAAGTCTCTTCTGGGAATTGCGATACAATGGAGTCGTGAAAAATTTGCAATTTTGACCCTAAAACCTTGGAGTCATGTTAGAATTTTAATATACTGACCGTGGGCTATTTGAGACGCCTCAGAGCAGAGAAAGAGCGTTCACAAATAATACTTCCCACCGGTGTAGTAAGAAGAATGGTAACGATCTTGTGAATGGCTAGAAATGTCCGAGGATACCCGAGAGTGCCGTATCAATCGCTACTCTTCTCAGGGTTTCGCTTAGTATTAATCACGTTTCAACCTACCACATACGTGAGACACTTTTCTATTAGAACGTTCAGCAGAAATTTGCCAAAAAATTTAATTTAAAAGAACATGGTAAGAACATCACACAAGGCTCAGAAGAACAATTTTTTTTCACTGCTTTTACTTTCCTAAATCCCGAGAATCTGAATTACCATACAATGTTCTACATGAAGAGTGCAGGCAAAATTTTGTTCTTTCAACACATGCATTGTACTTGTACAATTTATTAATATAAAAACTATAATCATTATCTTATCTTGCCGCCATACTGTAAGTCTATATGTCAGATTTCCGTTATTGAAATTTAAGAACACCCGAAAGCACATTTCTAGGCTGAAACTGCCCAGAAAATAAGAACGGTCCAGGCTTAACTCAAAAATGGGCGTTCTTATAAAAAATAGTGCATGTTTGGCAGGAAGATAAACACTGTTTACTGCTTTTTTTTTTCACGAATGCCAAGTTACGACATTAGTTACTCGGTATTAAAAGGTTTTAATTAATTCTTTAGCTATTAAAAATTGTGAAAAAAAAACTTTTCTTAAAAACATTCAAGAAATTGTTAAAAAGGTTAAAAAGTATACGACGTTTCGACGTTCTCGGACGTCATTATCAAGTAAAAAAAATACAGTGTGAATGTTCTATAAATACAAGAAAAACAATAGTTCATTAAAAAGAAAAGTAACATATAGAAATATGCTGCAAGTTAAACAAAGGGTTTAGCACTTATGGAGTCACTCTGAGTGTTAAGGCTGGGCTTCAAACTATCTATTAAGCTTTTTTTTCCACTTCGTCGCTAAAAGCTGCGTAATCCATATCACCCGAATCGTTTGCTTGGAATTCCAGTGATAAACCAGAGAAGGACTTTTTGATGGTGTCTTTCGAAGATGCGTATATCATTTTGTCTCCAATCGTTGTATCATCGGGACACCTAAAGAGAAAAAGGGAAATGAGATGAAACGGGCTGGCTCGGCTCATGCCTTGTTTCCTTATAAAATTGTTGCTGTGTTGTATGAGAAGGCCGGCTGCCCCGTTTGCCACGATCGTGGTTGCTTGAAGGAAGATCTCAGCAAGCGGGCCAGCCGGCCTTCTCATATAAACACAACAACAATTTTGCAAGGAAACAAGGCATGAGCCGAGCCAGCATGGTAAAGCAGGCCAGGCTGGCTCACCTCATATAAACAGTCCCTAAGGAGAAATGAGAACCAGGTAAAAAGAGTGTACTCCATCATACAAACTAAAGCTAAAGAGATGTACCCAACACATTTTTGATTTAATAATCTCTTGATGAATGCATACATCAATTCAGGGAGCAAGGGTGGCTTTATGGTGAGAGCAGTGGTTAGAGCACACACCTCCCACCAATGTGGTCCAGGTTTAAATCCCGGCGTCGACTCAGTATGTTGGTTGGTTTAGTTCTTGGTTCTCTACCTTGCACGGAGAAGTTTTTTTTCGGGTTCTCCGGTTTTTTTCCTCCCACAATCTAGTTTTCAGTGGGTCGTAAGTGATGGATTCATAAGCAGAGTCAGAAGAAAATAGAAATGTTCGGATTATTCTGACTCCAGTTCTGCAGCCTGCGTGTCAGGTGTTCGAAAGGGGAAGGGGAAGGGAATTTTAGGGAGGGTGGGAGGGTGGGGAACGCCTGCAAGAGCGCCATTATTGTCACCATCCCGCCTACTTATTAGGGACTTTAAGATCCAAAGACGCGGACGACAACGAGAACGTCAAAAAAACAATTGGTTTAATTAGCAAAACAACAACTTCGCACGTGCATCACACTTTTTTGTACATTTCTTTCCAGTTTTTGCTCGACGGCGACGTGAACATGCCTAATTTCGCGTTTTATGGAGGACGTAAACAAGCAAAGACAAATTTTTTTTCTCTTTCTGAGCTTGAATTTGGTCCCTTGAAATTCAGCTTCAGGAGGGTTCGCCTACAATTGACAAAGTAAGTCGATAGGAATAATCGCTATAAAGACTGAAATAACGCAAATTCACCTTTTAAGCGACGTTCTTGTCGCCGTCGCGTCGTTGGATCTTAAAGTCCCTATTATGTATGCAAAGATGACGCAACTGTAAACGTCTAACCATCTGTTACCGTTAGTTAAGGTATTCATTAATTTTACATCTCTCTCGTAGATGTGAAAATGGAAAAGACCATACCGTCCTTGCAGGCGTTCCTTACATTCCTCCTCGCGCGCCTTTCTGCCACGCAGACAAGCAATTCTGTAGACTTGCCATAAGTCGACTGCGTGAGCGCCGAAGGCGCGAGGTGACGCTGGCGAAGCGAGCGAAAGCGAGCGACGAAGTATTCTGTTGCACTTATAACTCCGCTTACGTCTCAGAGTTTTGATTTTCACTAGGTTAATAACTTATTTTGAAAATAAAATGTTCTTTCAACTCTGACTCTGTTGAACAAGTAAAATCCAGCCTAAAATGTCTTGAGACTAAAGGAAAATTTTATGCCCGGTCACTAATTAAAAATGCAGAGACAACCTCACTCACCAAAAGATGAATGCCAACTTTTTAATTATCCGGCCATCCTTATTCGTAAATCCAAAATCATACAAAATATATCGTGGCTCTTTGCTGAGTTGCTCCTTCATTTTATTAAACTGTGCCTCATCTTCTTCTTTTGCTTCTGTTAAGCATGGATCACCACACACGTCAACAACAATTTTCTTCTTTCCTTCAATTTTAAAGAATGCAAACTTGTGTGTGCTTCTCAACTTCATATCATTAAACAAACCGTTGATTTCAGCATCGAGTTGTACCCCTGACATAGACTGTATGAAGAGACCATAAGGAATAAAATTAATAATCTAAAAAACCTAATTAAGGTATCAAAACTGCTATTAAGTCAAAAATTGGCCAGGCGTATAAAATTGCTTATTTGAAATGTACTCTCAAACTGGACACAAATTCCAAAAATGAAGCATTTTTGTTCAATCGAAATGGAGAAAATTAAAACCAAAGTTGGTATCTAAGAGAGCTAATGTTGAAATATTGATAATTACACTATGATTTTCTAATAAGCTAGGGGAAATGAGAGCGAAATTTGTAAACATTCTGCTTCCTCAAATAAATAACGATGCTTTGATCATTCCTAATCATTCCCATGCCTGAAAAAAGCCTGGCCGAGGATGTCAGTCAGGTTCCCCTTTTAGTGAACAACGACGTCTTTCTGCTATTCTGTCAGGCATTCATAAAATTAAGAGTTAACAACGGCCATCTACAATTTCAGCAAAGTACTGTAACTACTTACCATTCTGATAGTTGATCGTGACTTTTCAAATTTTCAAAACACCTTTAAAACAAAATAGTTATTGTAAAAATTAGTTGGGTTCCAGTAAATTAATCTGCAGAGAGATGTTTAAAATAAACTTGTAGTGAAAATAGTACTTCATGGTGAAAAATCTTTAAATACTTAATCAATAGTAGCAAATTTTGACAACTTGAGCTTTCCGCTCCTTATGTGATAATTAATTAAGTGTTTGGATTTCAAAAAACTTAGGACAAATTTTAGTTCCGCTCCTTACCAGTAACTTGTTCCTTGACAGCTTGTAGCTCTTCCAACTCTATAGCTTGATGAAAACTTTGCTGCAGTTGCGTATATATATGTTCCCGGTGTGATGTAATATTTCTATATTTAAAATTACCCATTTGTTCAAGATTGTGGGTTTTCTGCGACATCATTTACTTCAAAGCGAGCTCAGTGCATCCTTTTAAGGACAATGGTTTAATAAACCGTGCCATCGGAATTGCGCAATGATAAAAATTTACATAAAATTGAATATTACAAACAGTTGATATGTTGCTGTTTTACAGCGTTAAGGCACATTGGTGCCCGGCGTTAGAAGCGTGAACTATATAAACCCTCTCGTGCAGCAATATGTCTCTTTAGCTTCTAATAATCAATTTTTAAATTTATTTTACTGAGGGCAACTCGAACTAACGAACGAAAATGTGAAAATTACTCATGCTGACCGAGCAACTCCGGGTATAAAGAGTTGATTGCGCACATAAGGTGTATTACCTCCTTATATGGCGTATTTTACAAATCACTAGATTTTTTAAAGAATAATATGATATGGGATAAAGTTTTGTTTGTAACGTCATAGTCTATAAAACCGACATGTACTTTTCAATAAATCTGAGAAGCTTAATGCCTATATACCGGACAAAATTAACGATTGCATTTCATGTTAGGAATGTTTACCTCATAAAATGTGTCAGTATTTGCTACCTAGCGTTCAAGGTTAAAAGTACCTTTAAGGTCTCTAGATCTAGCTCTCTAGCTCGATGAAAGAATCAAAGTACGTGAGGCGAACGAAGTGTCCAAAAATTTCCCACAACATTGCCGTGTTATATTCCCGTAATATTCGACTAAAATATGACATTCTGAAAAATGTTATGATCGCTGAGTGTTTTAGTAGAGTTGAGAGTCCTTTGCATATATACGAATAATGAGTATAGAGCTTTCCCTAAATTTCTACCGAAAATATATATTATATGGCTTGAAAAAAGGAAGTTACAGTTATTACGTACCTTATCAAAAAGCTTTAGATTCAAAGTAAGGGTCGATTTCTTCGAGACAAAAGACAACCCGCATCGCGTGGGCTATTACATGCTCTACGATTTTAATCAACATTACCAAAATAGGAAACGACAGTCGCATTTGTGTGTCACGTCACGCCTAAAAGGTAAGCCGTGCAAAATATATAAAATTCAACTTTGTTGGGCATTTTAAAAGAAAATACAAAGATAAGAAAACCCTGTCTTCCGTTTAGAGAGATTCTACAGAAAACTTTACGGTTTCATGATCAGTTACGTGAGTTCAGTTTTTTGCGTTGCGTAATACGTCATGGTACTGTAAGCTACTGTAGTATGTGAAGAACAAAACGCTTATGTACTTCATAAAGCACACTCTCTTGTTTCCGAAGTTTGGATCTTTAGTAATTTCATGGATTTTCCGCAAAACAGTCATGGAAAATGTAATGAATGTAGGTGAAGCTTGACTCGGTAGCTATAGCGTGACATCTTTAAAAGAAATTGCATGATCGCGTGATCCTGTGCTGGAGGCGAGTCGTCTCAAAGTGCCCGGGGGGAGGGGGGGGGGGGGCAATTGGGTATTGTTTGGGTGGGTATGTGCCGCCCGGACTCCAAATTGGCACCCCGTTCTAAAAAAAATTCCCCTAAAATTGATACCCCGTTCTAGAAATGGGCCAATTTTTTATATCCCGTTCTAGAAAAGTTTGTAAATTGAAATAGCCCTGTTTTTTTTAAAAAAGATATTTCTTTATTTGTTCGGCTTATACATGAAATAAATGCTTCTTTATAATCAGCAACAATTTTAAGCAGAAGATAAAGCCGTGATCCACAATTTTTTATACTCCGTTCCAGAAAACGCTTCTAAAATGGATACCCCGTTCTAAATCAGGAGCTTCAAAATCACGACCCCGTCGGGCGGCACATACCCGTATAGGTAATGTATGGGAGTACCCCCCCCCCCCCGGGCAAAGGGCGTTTCACGTTTCATGAGACGACAGAACTGGACTAGGCTCTTTTCTTTTTAGAAGAATATATTTTATAAGAATATATTTTATGAGGCTGACATTTGCGAAATTTCAAGTTTGAAGGATATTTTAGGAATGAAACCCCAGGCTGAGATTTGGAAAAGGATATATTTTTGTGTGTTGAAAATCAGTAAATACAATAAAATTAAGTATATGTCTTCAACTTAATCGTATCAGGAAATTGTTCTTTTTTTAAACGGCAACACTAAACAACAAAACGAAATCAAAGGCTCCTGTGAGCCAGCTCGGGCCAGCGCATGGATTAATTGGATAAGTGTAGAAAAGACAGTTCAATAAGTCATCAAGACCCCCATAATTGGGATTCATTGGTCCGCTGGCGTACCTGACAAATGTTAGTCGGAGTCGGGGTTGTGTGGTAACTAAAATAAGCAGGGGCACCCAATGGATCTGTTCCTCAAAATATCTGTTCTTCATGCAAATTTTTGCTGGTTGGGAGATGTGGAGAAATAATAGTCCTTGGAAGGAAAGTGTTGCTGGGAAAAAGATAATTCAGGGTGTCAGAGAGGATTTGAAGTCTAGAATAGCTGCTACGGGTTACTTGTATGGGTTGCTTACCACTCAAGATCTGCATTGTGCCCTATGAAACTTCCCAGTAAGTCAGGTTGCAGGTTGTAAGGTTGCTGGCTGGGAACTCTTCCATCAGTCTTGCTGGGAGTGAGGAACAGATAATTTTTTTCCAGCAATCTCCCAAAATGCTTAAAATAGTCTCAGAAAACTTTATTCACGCTTTGTTGTTGTTGTTAGGTCTTTTTCTCAAAATTTCCCGTTGGGTGCCCCTGAATAAGCAAGTTAGTCTTTTGAAACAAGAAACGATAACGTGACTGGTTTGATCTAACCAGAAATTCCAAACATTATTGTCGTTCTGCGCTTATAAAACGTGACAGGGTCAAGTTTGGCGTTTTAAAATGCTGTTAAAAAGCAGTAAAGCAAATTATTAAGTTTTAGTGTTGTTTCTGTCTGATATTGCATTAGCTGCTATATGATAGTCAACAATTTTAACAATAATTTTTGCACTTTTAATTTTCAATCGCTGCTCCGGTATATTATTGATTCAAGATTCCATATGTTTCTTCGTTGCTAGATTTTTTCTAGTTTTCGTAAGACTGTCGGAATTAGAGCTTTAGCCAAAACGCTTGAAAAACGTAAGTTTTATAAAAGAATACCAGCGGGTGGTGAGATATTAAGATTTGATTCTGATTGTTCGCTTTAATAATAAACATTCCCGTTTCCGTATATTTCTGGCACGTGTGATGCATTACTCGCTAATTTTTGGACACCACCACGCTTGGAAAGATTTTCTTGTTCTGCAAAACTTGTGTATCAAAGCTCATCGTTGGCCGCAACCTTTTTCACAGAGTCCTTCTCTCTTCCTCCCTCGAGGATTAGAAAGGGCCCTTGGAACGAAGTTGCGTTAACTGTTAAATCTAATGACGTCATATCTTGTACGAGGCCTGCGGCTTCCAATGCAATGAGAGGTTGAGGGCGTTTCAGGAGTGAATAGTGCTGTATATGGTGTTAAGCTGACATTACTAAGAAAATTTTATCAGATATGTATTGTACAGTCTTTTGAGAACAATGAGGCTGAAATCTAAAGTCTTGATTTTCTCTTTTTAAAATAGTTCATATAACTGTATAACTTCTTTTTAAACTTTGTATTTGAAGCATTTCCTTTTTCTTATCTTTAAGATTGCTTTTCGTGCATCCTTCGTCCCGTTTGTCAAGATGTTTATTGATCAGTTTGGCTACTGGGCACCGTGTATAACTGCTGTTTATCATGTCAGGTAAGGTACAACCAAATGATCTGCAAGGGGTATTCACTTATAGTAATCAACAAAACTATACTCACTTCACTCTCTTCTCCCCAGAGGCCTCTTTTTTACCCTGAATTTCATCCGATTACCTCGAGTCGTTATTACTCCCTCAGTAACGTCTGAATCGACCGGCCGTTAATGCCGTCCAGTGACGTCACTACTCCTTGACCTTTGCTTTAATTCGTGCAAAAAGTAACACACGATTTTCAAGTGGCAAACCGAGAAATATCGTTTGGAAATGTCTGCATGATACAGAATTGCTTTATTTTTTTCGATCGTAATTCATGTTTAACGTTCAAACTATCAACTGCATGCAGTACAACTCTGAACCGGTTGTACTGAATTCTATAATCAAACTCGGTCGCAGTCACGCAATGAAATAAACACAAACACACACGAAACTCTTAGTTCAAAAACACAATGATTTGCCTTAATTGAAAAGAAGCTGTTTGGCCCTTAACGAAGAAAAAAAAAACCACGAAACAAGAAAAAAAACCTAACAGAATCATTACGCTTGACTGTGAAAATAGCAAGAAGGTCGAATTATAACATTGATCTCAGAAAACTTCGCGTAAACAAAATCACCGGCCGCCGAAACCACAAAGCGGCTCTAAATGAAAAGCCTACCGACTCTCCGCAATGATTCTTCATTCGCAGTTCAATTTAGCTTTTCAGTTTCGAAGACAAGGGCAATTTTGCTGTTTAAGATAAAATGTTTGAACTACACGAAAAAATGTCAGGGATGCGATCCGCTGAATATCAAACGACAATCCCGCTAAAGTTCTTCATAATTATACATAAATATGCGAATGTTTAGACAATCAACCAATCAAAATCACTACCCGGTTTTCGGGTAGTGAGTAACGTCACTGGACGGCATTAACGGCCGGTCGATTCAGACGTTGTTGAGAGGAGAAAACGACTCGAAGCAATCGGATGAATTTCAGGCTACCTCTTTTTGTCTTTTTGCTTTCTGGGGAGAGGAAAAAAGAGAGCGCCCGGGGGATTATGGCAAGGGGAACGAGATGAACATAGGATACATCCAGTCTTCCTCGCAAATCCGGCGCCATCTTGAAATGCATTACAGAGCAGAGCAGTCAGCACCAGATCCCATCGGCCTAAACCCTTTGGTCAGCTTATGAAGTTTACAAAACGTAGTATTCTTTATTACTTCTACACTACACTTAGATGAAATTCTGCTCAGCAAATGTTAATCAAAGTTTATGTCTCTTCAATTTTTAAGGAAAAAAAAAACATTTTGAAAAGCTTGAGTGGGTATCGAACCCGCAGTGTAGGTTTGATGTGAACTTATATAGCAAAAACCCTAACCCTAAATAGAAGCTAACCGTTTCCAGTCAGTGCTTAACCCAAATCACTATTTTCAGGGCTTAACCGTTATCACCCTATTCAGTGCTACACCCTAATCACTATTTTCAGTGGTTAACCCCTATATGTATTGCTCCTAATCACTACAACCGAAGCGATTAGGAATCCTAACTTGTGTAAACTTCATGAGGTGTCCTAGGTGGTTTAGGCTGAGGAGATCTAATGTTAACCGAGCAGAGCAGAGGCTCCCTCATTTTCGACGTTTTGAAATCGACACTCACTTGTACATCATTAAGGACTACTATTACAATGTTAAACCATGTTTAGTGTTGTTAACTATTAGGTTCTAAACGCGTTTAGCTTTGGAGTGTATTGTGGGGGTTATTATGTGGAGGTGCTGAAATGTACTGCATTACATAAAGTTCCAAATAGTGCCACGTTATTAATGGTTGTACTCTATATATTACTCGCTGTATATGCCCAAGCCTGCGTTACTTAGCATGACCTAACCGCGTTTTAAACGTCTTGTGTAAAGCAGAACTGTAGGATCTTCAGTCATTTTTTTAAAAACGCGAGTAGAATAATGAGCACCCAGAGCTTTCTCCCGGGCTTTAAGTTTTCAAAAGGCAACCACACACATTTTATATGCGTCAATACTAAAAATTGTCAGAGAGATAATAAATTATCGAAAAAAAATGGTGTTGATTGATTACTGCGGGAATTCTTTTTCAGTATGGGTGTTATGGAAGGCCTTACTTATAATGAAACTATGGACAGACTCAAGACACTTTACTGGCCAACACTAAAGGCATGCTGGATGATATGGCCCGCAGTCATGGTAAGTGAAATAACCATCAAGATTACCGGGCCTGGGTTTTGATTCGCCATTTCGAGTTTGCGCACGAGACTTGGTCGGTGTTTTGTCGAATTGTATTTTGGAACTGTTTTGGGGCATCCAGCGCTTCGTCTATAATATAGAAGAGAAGTGTGACGTCACGTTACCATGGAAGCAAAATTTCCGGATCACAACAGTAGGGAGCTTAAGCAACGACGACGGCGACGGCAACAAGAACGGCAAAACAAGCATAGGTTTTTATAGACTGTTCACAGTCCCCTATTTTTTCGTGAGATTGTTTAGATGTACCGCGTCTTACCGTCACGGGTATCTTGATGTTCAAATGTAGCGAGGGGGCGGGTGTCTGGGACTAGAGCTCTTGGGCGGGGGGGGGAAGGGGGGTTTCTATTTTTCTCGCTTCCTCCCAAACCCCTCCCCGCCCCCTAAGTAGTTTTGACACTCATGCAAGATGGCAGCCCGTAACGCAAAGCGCTCGATCTCGATAGTCTTACGGAAAAATAGAGGACTATGAAAAGTCTAAGGTTTTTATTAGCAAAACAACAACTGTGCACGTGCATCACACTTTTCTGCATATTTCTTAGCCGTCGTTGCACGACTGCGACATGAAACCTTCTAATTTCACGCACCGGCTTAAAGGAGAACGTGAACACATAGCACAACAATTTCCATTTTCTTTTTCTAAACTTAGATGGGGTCCTTTCGGACTTAACCCCAGAAAATTTCCCCAACATTTGACAGATTAAATGAAACTGAATAAGATCGATGAAGTTTGAAACAGTGCAACTTCACTTTTTGAGTGACGTTTTCGGTTTGGTGTGATCCAGAAATTTTGCTACCATGGTAACGTGACGGAACAACTTCTCCTCTCTTTTGGCTAACACGATTATAATTTCGTCCCCAAAACAGTTCCATAGTCCATTCAATATAACATCAATCCATTCTTAATAGGTGCAGTCTCCAAGTGGCGCATAGTAAACTGTACTAAATTTTACGATTTCGAGAGCCATTGTAACTCTTAAGAGTCTATGTACGATCGCCTGTACGACTTTGTTGGACGGCAGTTGTATCTCCAAGAGTTACTAGTTGTGTGAAGCTATGCGCAAAGTGATAATACCTTACAAATTGTTGTTTTTGGTGAACTAGGGAAGGTGTAAAATATTGATGACGGGCATTGACAGCAGTTTTGTTCTCGCTATTCTATTTTCATTGAGGAACACTGGAGATTTATTTCCGAAAGCAATTGAAAAAGAGGTCATTTCTGGCTTTTTGAGTTTTATTTTTTGTTTCAACCCGTCGACATAATGATCTTGGGAGCGGGTGCTTTAAAAGGCCTGTAGCGCAAAAGGCAGCATCGCCTTGAAGGTAACCATGACAACCAAGCGAGTGAAAACCAAGAAAATTTTAGTGGAATCATTACCATAACCCATACTTACCTATCATAGAGGGGGGGGGGCGAAGGGGTGAGAACAGAAAGCAGCCCTGAAATATCTCAAGCCGTGAATTCAAAACGATCCGCAAAGATCAGCAAAGAAAAGCAGGCAAAGCTGAGTCATGCAATCAGATGTAAGCCCCTGTAGACAGTGAAGCGACTCAACCGCTGACCCATTAGTGATGTCTCGAGGTTAACCTTCAATCGGCGACTCTAACTCTCTCCAACCGGCTCTAATCGTTTAATCTGCAAAGGGTACATCCCATCACGGCAGATGTGCAAATTTGCATGTGGTTATGTTCAAACGTAATCATGGTGCCAGGGTTAAGTGAAAAACGTTCCTGGGTCAGCGTTTTTAAAGATGGCACATGACGGCCAGTTTAAAAGCCTCCAGTGACTTCTTTTCAATGACACCATTTGGTAAAGAGTTCCAGTCTCTGATTGTACGTTCAATACAATACTCTGAAGATGACTACCGCACAGGCTGTCGAAACGTCAACAACAACAGTCCTATTCAGGACTACGTTCACCCGGACTATCAAACTCAACCTTTTGAAATGACTCCTGGGTTCAAACCTTTCACAATAAAACTGTGTTGGTATTTGTTTGTTTTGGCACTAACTTGAATGAATGTCTTAGGGTGGAATTGCCTAGTGCCCTGTCGCCTTTCAAATGATTTATTAGGGTGAAAATTGTATAGCTGATAGACCAGAAATTACTTTAAACATCATTGCCACTTTCCTTCTTTTCTCGAGTGTTGGCCATTTCAAATCATTCAGAATTTTCTTGACATTTCCAGGAGTAATGCTATATTCATTGTTAACAAAACGTCCCGCTCGTCTCTGCACACATTCTCATTGTCCTTTATCTGTTTTTGAGTGTGTGGGCTCCGTGCGCAACATCCATATTCAAGCTGTGGTCTAACTAAAGCAAGATAGGCTTGCTCTTTTACGTTTTTGCTCTTTCGCGATTTGAAATTAGTTGAGACACTTCGCCCTATTTAGGGGCTTTCTGAAGTTTTACTGACTTCCGTAGGGAAAATGAAAGCTTTCCCTCCCCCATCCCCTCCATGCAATGTTGTGCCACTGGAGGAGTGTGGATTCTTTTGTTCTCTGTAGCTACCCTATTTGAGTACAATGTCTCAACAATTTTGTCGCCCATTGCTGCTTACATTCCAATAGCCCACGTTCGATATACTGATATATTAAAATTCTATGACTCCCAGGCTTTAGGGACAGAATTGCACATTTTTCACTACTCCATTAGCCGTATTTTTACTAGAGGACGTTTGAGACGTCTGAGACGTTGAAGACGTCTTAGACGACTAAGACGTCTAGTATAAATGCGGGAAATAAGGCGGACGCATTAAACGTCAGAGGAATAAAACGTCTGAAGTTAAGTGCGTCCGATCGACGCACTTAACAGATGAATTAGTCATCTCAGACGTTTAAGACGTCTAGTATAAAAACGGGACGCAATTAACAACGCACTTAACAGTCAGACGTTTAATGCGTCTGGACGTCTAAGACATCTTCTAGTATAAATACGGCCATTGTCTCGCTATTCCCAGAAAAAAAAACTTGAGCACAAACGAAACGAAATATAGAAATATGACCAGAAAGCCTCCAAGTCATGTTAGAATTTAACATATTGAACGTGCGCAAATGACTATTTTTAAGTATTTCCCAAATTTAATGTGGAAATAGTCATTTCCAGGTTTGCTTCATTGATCCTTTTTTGATTGTCTCTGCAGATTGTTAATTTTAGGTTCATACCAGTTGCTCATCAGCTTAACTTTTGTCTGGCTGTCAGTTTGGTTTGGGCAACAATTTTGAGTGTCATACGAGCCTCTGAAGCAAGCCATGTAAAGGAAATTGAATCTATAGACACCATATCTATAACAAACTACTCTGTAGAAGCGACTCAGCAGTGACCATGGAGCGATTGTCCTTGGAGGAAGAAGGGAAAAAAAATCCTTTGCGCAAATTTTCGCGGCTGTCATCAGTTTTCCCGCTCCTACTGACTCGCTGCTGGCTCTCTGAGGATGAGGCTAGCCATGCTCCAATTCGTGGCGTCTCCTTATGAAGCCAACTGTGCGGCGTGCGTTTTTGAGGAAGTAGCCTGCGTAGCAGACGCTTGAAAGTAGGAGGTAGTGGGCGCAAGCGCGCCCGTTCTTTCTTGTGCCCACTACTTCCATGTGCCTGCTACGCAGGCTAGTGAGGAAGAGAATTTTATTGTAAATAAGACAGGTTGATCATTCTTGAAAACAAAAATACAAATAAAATCTACGTTCTATGAGGCCAGTCCCTATTTTACTTTCTCTGTATATAAGTACTGCTAATATTCGGCCGAATCAGGTAAGACATAGTCATGCTTTACCCCCGTCCACTCCGCGAATCCGGACATTTTTCTTTACCCGGATTCTTGTGGGCGGAGCCTTAAACTTATCTAGGGCCAATTTAATGAAACTTTTACAAGTGTAATTTACAATTAAGTGTAGCCATTGTTTTAGAGTCTGAAAACAGATAGCTACACTTGTAAATTACACTTGTAAAAGTTTTGTTAAATTGGCCGCGCCCCTGCTAGATACCGATTTCAAAAAGTTGCGATTTCAATGATTGGATTCACTGGTTTCGTGTGGACAAAAGACCTCATGGCTGGCAGGCGTATTTTGCAGTGCAAAAGATTTGGACGTTGGACTGACAGAGAGTTGGGGCGAGAAAGGAGAGGTTGATTCTTAGTTTTCCAGTTGCTATTATGATGGCGGCCGCAATCAATTTACCTCTAGGTCGCGCCCAAAAAAACAAACAAACAAACAAAGAAACGCCGGTATGGAGCGTGGGAGAAAGGTTGACAAAAGAGAAAAGATAAGATAAGATAAGAAAACAAGTCTAAAAACACGATAAGGCGTTACTTTTCCGTTTGTTGGTCTCTCGCGTTTCGTGTTGGACTGCGTCTTTCTTCTCGCTCGGCTGAGTAAGGGTTGATTTGCACTGTCCCGAAATTTTTCCGTGAGAACGCACGTAATTTTTAGGTGCATAAATGAAATAGAGACAATGTATGAAAGGCCACGTGTAAAAGTAAAAGTTAAACCTCGCTCAACTTTCATGCTTACGCGTGACCGTCCATACATGGCCTCTATTTTATTTACACGGGTAAAATTCACATGGGTACGCGTGTAAAAATTAGCGACAGTCCGAGAATAACGCTTGCCACACAAACTTACAAGTCGGCCCCCGCTTTTGGTCCATTATTTTAACTACGGTGCTGGCTGGAACTTCGCTAAAAAATGGGAAATCCGAGTAAATGTCTGTAAATGCGTCGACATTAACAACAGTCGGGCGTAAGACCACCGCCTGGCGTGCGCTTATATCCGTTCCCAATGTTTTCACACACAGTTGAATTTTTTGGAGGGTAAATTCAAGAAGGCAAGGTGCGCAGAGATCTAACCCCGGGGGTACTCCCCTATAAAAATGATGGGGGTGCTCGTCGTACCTTTTTGGGGGTTTAAATTTGTGGATTTGTACCGCTTATTTGTTGTTGTTGAATTGGTACCTCCAAGGGGTGGAAATGAATTGGCACACGCCCATAAAACAAGATTCGGGTGCCTTTTAGGGGTGTTCTCGAAATTTTCCGATAAGCACCCCTGTCACTTTTATAGGGGAATACCCCCCTTCCCCAGGGAAATCTTGCTTATCAAAAAGACGTTTTTTTCTTTTATCTCGCTGATATTTCTTACGCTTGTCATCAAGACCTTCGCCGATAACTGGCTACCAACTTCATTTTTCCCTAGCTATCGCTTTGGGGTAGCTGTCGAGGGACACTCTATTGTTCTCGAGACATATCCAAGCCCCAGACGATAAAAATTTCTCCGAGGTAAGTTACCTATGGAAAAATCGGTCACACTTAAAAGTTACTCTAGGTAAACTGTCCACAAGTCGAGTTTACCCAGGTAAAAAGTCTGTAGTGTGACCACAGCTAGCAATTATCTGACAGCTCATTTAACGGGGAGTCACAGGGGAATTGGAGCAACCTCGTCCCCAGGGCGCTTTTCCCTGGCTTTGGAAAAGCGCCCTGGGGACGAGGTTGGAAGTGGAGGTGGAATTCAAATTCCAGAGAGGTTGTTGCAATCTCTCCTTACTTTTCTCACCCCGCCGCCAGAGAGCCCCGGAGGGCTTGCTCTCGGGCTACTGTCAAGTCTATGGAAATCATTATTGTTGCAAATTCCTGATAATATTTACGTTACTATGCGTGATACTATTAAATAATAAATTTAAACTTACTCTCGTTTCTCACTCTAGGCTTAATTTTAAAGTAGTCACTTGGATTATTAATATTTGAGGGGAGGACTGGGAGATATGATTTTAATTCTGGGGGGCTGGGGTGGGGTATATTTTACTGATGTTGCTACAGCTTTTCAGAATTAACGTCACAATTTACTAATCAACAGCGACTGTTAAGAGCGATGATATATGGATGGGGAACTGCTCCACTCGCTCATGTACATTTTAACATTCTGGAATGGCTAGTTGTAAAGAAGGTAGGAAATAGACTAGACTTGCTACAAATCGACCTAGTTCTTATCCCGACCGAAAAAAAAGCGTGCGAAGCGAGCGTCATCAATTAAGGTCGCTCAGCGACTGAGCAAGCGACGAAGTCGCGAAGTTATCACAAGGGGGTAGCTAGGGGGCGTCCTGGGGTGCCCGTGACCCCCCCATGGTAGGCCTTCTTTTGAGCAAACAACCTACAATATTCAGGTGGCGAAAACGCCATGACAATATCTTGGCCGTAAAAGCCATTGTTGAAAAGACCACTTTTTTAAAATTTGTTTTTTTGTAAAGTATTTTCGTCAACAGCTCTTGCCTTTAGTCTTGAATAGGGCCATTTATACGAGGAAAAATAAGACGCGTCTTAAATAAGACGCGAACTGTACCATTTATACGAGCATGTCTTATCTAATAAGACGCGTCTTAGCTAAGCCGCGTCTTATTTTAGACGAAATGTGCCGTTTATACAGAAAGTTCGCGTCTTATTTAAGACGCGTCTTATTTTTCCTCGTATAAATGGCCCTAATATGGGCCTTCATGGGCCTGGTGAGTAGCCTCTGTGACCCCCCCTTTGAAAAATCCTGGCTACGCCCCTGTATCATGACATCATCGGTGAATTATGAGGGCCCCACTGAAAACCACCTTGGCGAGTTGGGCTCCCTCTATAAATATTATTATTATTATTAATTTTTCCACCGGTAAATTTCGCGCCAAACAGGTAAGAAAAGTCCGTTAAAAAGACATAACCAACCAGGAAAACAAAATTTAAAGGACTTTTAATTAGAAAGTCTAGAAATAGACTTGAGCTTAAAACAGCCAAATCTGCACATAAAATGACAAATCGATCGGGTGAAAAAAAATCAGAGCATTTTCGATTTACTCATGCATTCTCACTAACAGCCTACGTAGCCTGTTCCAAGCGTTCAGATAGTGGAGAGCGGTGCGAAGTAAAGAAAGCGATAAAAAGTAGAGGGGGACTGGGGAGAGAGTCTCTCACCTCTCCCCCTCCCTCGCTTTTATTTTTTTCGCGCTCCTTTTTACTTCGCACCGCTCCCCACTATCTGAACGCCTGGAACTGGCTACAGCCTACGCGGTCCCTGGTATCGCTTGTGACGTCATCAGTTTGAACAGTCGTAGACAATTTTGATATCTACGGCTCCTGTTATCTATTATGTCTATTATTAAGACCAATTAAACTGGTGCAGGCCAGGGAAGAGATATTTCAAACAATATCAGCCGCTTATCTAGTCTGCTACTACAGCCGTTTTTAGTGTCGTCACGCAATGCTCCTCCCCACAAACGGCTGCTGAAAACCGAACTACATTCCTTTCCCTTTGTGTTTGTGGTCTAACGAACAAGCCAATCATGCACAAGAAGTTTGACAATACGTGAGCCGCGGGGCGCTAAGAAGCGAGCACGATTCTCAGTTTTCAACAAATCAATCAATCGTCGCTGAATTTAGACGGGTTCTGTGTTTTCAAGCAACGAAAAGGTTAATTTGCAAAAAAGTTTGTTTTAAGCGGTCAAGAAAGTTCCAAGTGAAAGAAAGGTTTGATAGGCCTAGAAGACTTTTACCAGGATCGGTTGGTTCTTCATTTAACTTGCATATGTACTGATATGTGATGAAGAATTTACATGTGCCGGATGTGCTTATTGTGTTCCTGTGAATACTAAACTCTCAAGGGTACTGATTCAAAAAGCAATCTATTAAATTATCGATGAGCGATTTCCCGAACTATACTTGGCAACTTTATGAGCACATCCATGTTGTGCATAGCAATTTGCTCGACTTGCTTGCTGCTGGTGCTTATCTCCTAAATTTTAAATAGGACTCGACTACGACAACACTACTCTAGTTAATTGCTTGTTTTCACGCGACGTTTTGATTATTCTGTCATTCACACATGGGGCACCGATAAAAGCAAAGCTGTGATTGGAGGAGTCACAGTACCGCAAACGTGGCGCGAACACTTTCCAGAAAATGGGAGCTGAATTATAATTGGCTAATCACGGGAAAGGAATGTAGTTCGGTTTTCAGCAGCCGTTAGTGGGGAGGAGCGTTGCGTGACGACACTAAAAATGGCTGTGTAGAAGACTACCGCTTATCCGGATGAGCACAATTCAGTCAAATAGACAGGAGAAAAATGCAAAAAATCACGTCAAGTTGACCCAAAAACTGCAATGAATCTGAAAAATGTCCTATTGCATCTTAAAGGGGCTATGTCACCCAACACGCATGCGCGAGCCAATGAAAACAAACTTGAAAAAGACAGCCCAACTTTTTCAAGTTGTGTCGGAGATTTTGGAAGGCTGTTTTTATCTGTCTAAATCTCAGCCATTGTTCGATAGTTAGCGAAGTTTTGTATTAAGAATCATTCTATGGTGATTACAGAACAATTTTTTGGCGTTATTTTAAAATTGTTTGCCTGTGGAATGTTTTTACGTGGATTTACTGTGTCCTCTTATCAGCGGCCGTTGTAATAGAGTTTGCTTTCCCTTTTTATCAACGGACTGCTTATAGTGGAGTAGTATACCAATGATGCTGGGTTCTGTTTTTCTCGACGTCGCAGTGATTCGGCACGATCGAACAATTTTGCGCGATAATGTATGTTTCCCTAAGATCAAAACAAAGACTTGGTCTCTTGTTCTATCAGCATCTAAATTATAAAATCAATAGCGACAGACAAGTCTAATTGTTAATGATTTGAAACAGTCTTGGTCTTTATCTTCGGTCTAGCGTCTTTTGTAGCTCGTTTGTAAAATACAACTTCCATTTATTTTGTTGAATAAGACAATATGTTGTTGTTGAATTTTGTTTGCGCTCTATTTTATGAATGGCATGCGTTTTTTACTTCAAAACTACAAGTAAAATTGTCGTCGCAATTTTATTCTTGATCTAGCATAACCAGAGAAGAAACGTTCCATAAATTCTATCGAAATATCCCTTATCTAAACCCATTTCGCTAAACCTCTCTAAATTCGGAACCTTGGACGTGACAGAGAACATGAAGAAAGTCACGCGTTAAAAACAATAGAATTTTGACAGTTGAAAGTAATTTGCATAACCTCACAGCGCACATGGAGAAAGTCACGCGTTAAAAACAATAGAATTTTGACAGTTGAAAGTAATTTGCATAACCTCAGAGCGCATGCTCTCCAGCTGACATAGCCCCTTTAAATCCCACGATCCTAGTCCCCACAGAAATGAAGCCTAGAAATGTCTAGCAAAGGGAAAAAACTGTGCAAGAAAAGGGGGAGAAGGGAGAAGGGAGAAAGCACAAAGTAAAATTTGGCATTCTGCCCATCCCCAAAATTCAGAACCGGACGTTTGCCAGAACAAAGGGCAGCGTAATGCTTAGCATGAGATCGGGCCCAATTTTAGCCGCTTTTATACCAAGGCCGTAGCTAGAAATTTTTGACTAGGGGAAATAAAGCGAGGTCTGGAGCAATGCTCTTTCAGAAAATTTTGAAATGAATGCAGCGGCATGGAAATACCAATTTGTACATAGATATGCCGTCCAAAGTAACGTCAGTCAAAGTTTAAAAGGACACGTTCTTTTAGAGCTTAAGGTTTTAAAAACTATTGATTCATGAATATCTGATCAGAATCGCGGTCTAGGATCGATGTCTCCAAATGGATTTCCCTCTAAAATATCGATTCGTCATCAGTCAATTGCAGTTTTTGAAGTTAATCATGGCATAGAGTCAACGATATTAAGACTTACTCAGGGAACCCCGTTAAAACGACACGGGTTCGGACCTTTGCGCAAGTTATGTTTCATTGGCTGATATAAATGGCCTCAGATTCCGGTATGTATTCCGTCCCACGTTGAATGAGGAAACGAGGAGCATCCCTAGGCCACGTGCACTCAAACGACCCTCATTCGTTGTAGAACGGTTCCACAATAGCCCACTGTTCGATATATTAAATTCTAACACGACTCCGACGCTTTCTGGTCATTTTTCTATATTTGGTTTTGTTTTCTTTGTGCTCAAGTCTCTTCTGGGAATTGCGAGACAATGGAGTCGTGAAAAATTTGCAATTTTGACCCTAAAGCCTTGGAGTCATGTTAGAATTTTAATATACTGAACGTGGGCTATTTGAGACGCCTCAGAGCAGAGAAAGAGCGTTCACAAATAATACTTCCCACCGGTGTAGTAAGAAGAATGGTAACGATCTTGTGAATGGCTAGAAATATCTGAGGATACCCGAGAGTGCCGTATCAATCGCTACTCTTCTCAGGGTTTCGCTTAGTATTAATCACGTTTCAACCTACCACATACGTGAGACACTTTCCTATTAGAACGTTCAGCTGAAATTTGCCAAAAAATTTAATTTAAAAGAACATGCTAAGAACATACACAACGCTCAGAAGAACAATTTTTTTCACTGCTTTTACTTTCCTAAATCCAGAGAATCTGAATTACCATACCGTATGTTCTACATGAAGAATGCAGGTAAAATTTTGTTCTTTCAACACATGCATTGTACTTGTACAATTTATTAATATAAAAACTATAATCATTATCTTATCTTGCCGCCATACTGTAAGTCTATATGTCAGATTTCCGTTATTGAAATTTAAGGACACCCGAAAGCACATTTCTAGGCTGAAACTGCCCAGAAAATAAGAACGGTCTAAGCTTAACTCAAAAATGGGCGTTCTTATAAAAAATAGTGTTTGGCAGGAAGAAAAACACTGTTTACTGCTTTTTTTTCACGAATGCCAAGTTACGACATTAGTTACTCGGTATTAAAAGGTTTTAATTAATTCTTTAGCTATTAAAAATTGTGAAAAAAAACTTTTCTTAAAAACATTCAAGAAATTGTTAAAAAGGTTAAAAAGTATACGACGTTTCGACGTTCTCGGACGTCATTATCGAGTAAAAAAAATACAGTGTGAATGTTCTATAAATACAAGAAAAACAATAGTTCATTAAAAAGAAAAGTAACATATAAAAATATGCTGCAAGTTAAACAAAGAGTTTAGCACTGATGGAGTCACTCTGATTGTTAAGGCTGGGTCTCAAACTATCTATTAAGCTTTTTTTTCCACTTCCTCGCTAAAAGTTGTGTAATCCATATCACCCGAATCGTTTGCTTGGAATTCCAGTGATAAACCACTGAAGGACTTTTTGATGGTGTCTTTCGAAGATGCGTATATCATTTTGTCTCCAATCTTTGTATCATCGGGACACCTAAAGAGAAAAAGGGAAATGAGATGAAACGGGCTGGCTCGGCTCATGCCTTGTTTCCTTATAAAATTGTTGCTGTGTTGTATGAGAAGGCCGGCTGCCCCGTTTGCCAAGATCGTGGTTGCTTGAAGGAAGATCTCAGCAAGCGGGCCAGCCGGCCTTCTCATATAAACACAACAACAATTTTGCAAGGAAATAAGGCATGAGCCGAGCCAGCATGGTAAAGCAGGCCAGGCTGGCTCATCTCATATAAACAGTCCCTAAGGAGAAATGAGAACCAGGTAAAAAGAGTGTACTCCATCATACAAACTAAAGCTAAAGAGATGTACCCAACACATTTTTGATTTAATAATCTCTTGATGAATGCATACATCAATTCAGGGAGCAAGGGTGGCTCTATGGTGAGAGCGGTGGTTAGAGCACACACCTCCCACCAATGTGGTCCAGGTTTAAATCCCGGCGTCGACTCAGTATGTTGGTTGGTTTAGTTCTTGGTTCTCTACCTTGCACGGAGAAGGTTTTTTTCGGGTTCTCCGTTCTTTTTCCTCCAGCAATCTAGTTTTCACTGGGTCGTAAGCGATGGATTCATAAGCAGAGTCAGAAGAAAATAGAAATGTTCTGATTATTCTGACTCCAGTTCTGCAGCCTGCGTGTCAGGTATTCGAAAAGGGGAAGGGGACGGGAATTTTAGGGAGGGTGGGAGGGTGGGGAACGCCTGCAAGAGCGCCATTATTGTCACCATCCCGCCTACTTATTATGTATGCAAAGATGACGCAACTGTAAACGTCTAACCATCTGTTACTGTTATTTAATTATTCATTATTTTTACATCTCTCTAGTAGATCTGAAAATGGAAAAGACCATACCGTCCTTGCAGGCGTTCCTTACATTCCTCCTCGCGCGCCTTTCTGCCACGCAGACAACCAATTCAGTGTAGACTTGCCATAAGTCGACTGCGTGAGCGCCGAAGGCGCGAGGTGACGCTGGCGAAGCGAGCGAAAGCGAGCGACGAAGTATTCTGTTGCACTAATAACTCCGCTTACGTCTCAGAGTTTTGATTTTCACTAGGTTAATAACTTATTTTGAAAATAAAATGTTCTTACAACTCTGACTCTGTTGAACAAGTAAAATCCAGCCTAAAATGTCTTGAGGCTAAAGGAAAATTTTATGCCCGGTCAGCAATTAAAAATGCAGAGACAACCTCACTCACCAAAAGATGAATGCCAACTTATTAATTATCCGGCCATTCTTATTCGTAAATCCAAAATCATACAAAATATATCGTGGCTCTTTGCTGAGTTGCTCCTTCATTTTATTAAACTGTGCTTCATCTTCTTCTTTTGCTTCTGTTTTGCATGGATCACCACACACGTCAACAATAATTTTCTTCTTTCCTTCAATTTTAAAAAATGCATACTTGTGTATGCTTCTCAACTTCATATCATTAAACAAACCGCTGATTCCAGCATCGACTTCTATCCCTGACATAGACTGTATTAAGAGAACATAAGAATAAAATTAAGTAAAGTAAAAAACCTTATTAAGGGCAAAGCCTCTCAACTCTTGGTATCTTCTTGTAGCGCCCAGATTCAATAGGTAGCAAGTGGAAGAAATTCGCATTTTAGTTACTGCCACTCTGACTTGTCTTAGCGTTCTTTATTAAATCAAGATAATATTCAAATCTGACTTCGTTTTTCACTTCACTGTACAGGCTTAATTTATTTTCAATTGAGGAGTCGAATTTATCCTTGTTCAGTCTTTTCGACCAATATTCAAGGCATTCTTTAAACAAATTTCTTTTAAACATTCTAACAAGGTGAGGAAATGTCCTGTAGTCAAGATGTGACAGATTTGGAGTATAATCACTTAATTTGGTAAAGAGTAATAGGTGTGTTACAGTAGTAAACCATGAATACTTACCTACATTATTTAAATGGATGTTTATCGCTAGGGCGAGCTAGGGCGCTATTTAAAATTGGGTCATTTTGTAAGGTAAGTAACCATAAGAAGTACTTAAAAATTCTAGTGTAAATAATAAGATGAAGAGGAAAACGTCCGAGTTCTCCCTTCACAGCATGGTTACTTGCTTTAGAGTGAACCCCTAAGGCCATTTTGCATACCTTGTTATGCATATTCTCGAGATTAGGCGACCCTATATTAAGAGTTAAGAACGGCAATCTACAATTTCATCAAAGCACTCCAACTACTTACCATTGTGATGGTTGATCGTGACTTTTAGTTTCAAAACACCTTGAAAACAAAATAGTGTAGGGGCACCGCTCTGGCCTGCTGGTAGCACGTTGAATGATTAAAGTAGCTTCACTGATTTGCTCTGGTCCAAGTTTATTGATCTGCTCCTAGCTCCTAGAGCGCATTCGAGTACCTACAACCTGCTGTGATTGGTCGAAACCTAGCGACTATTCAAAAGTTCTTTTGTACAAAGAAACAACGGCATCCTTTGAGGGATTACAACCGTTATTTGGGTTGTGCTATCGAATACTTAAAGTGGCTGTAAATTCAATGTTGTGACGCTGTAGTGATGACAGTTAACGTCAATTGAACATATTTTGATACCAATCACCAAGTGGTTGCTGGAATAAGTGCGCAGTACTTTTCGGAACGTGATCTGTTTACTCTGATTACACAATATATACGACAAAAGCTTTGTATAAAAAATAAAAAAGGACGCCGACCAAGATTAGCGAAACTACATAAAAGGTTAATAGGTGGTTTTCATGCATCCCCGGGAGACACAATTAACAATGGTGAAATGAACAAATGCTGGTGGACAAACAAAGCGAGCTAATGAGCGATCTTTTGTTTACCGTCCACCAGCATGGGGGCGATAGACGAGTAGGCAAACACGTGAGAAATTACAGTGTTTGTATGAGAATGTAATGTCAAATAATTTCCGTAAAATGGCTGTTCTGAAATAAATATTAATTGTAAACTAAAGCTACAAAGCAAAGGATTGTCCTAAAAAAATTTGGGGAGTACCTGTGCTTGAATTTCTCCAGAGGCTTGCTTTAGATTTCCCATATTTTTGTCTGTAATTTTCCCGGAACTTGCTTACAGACAAATGTATAGAAAATGTTAAAAAGTGGTTCTAGGTCTTCTATTTCATGTAACGCCCTCAAATTTTTTCAGGTGAATCCTTAGGAGTGAAGCTTTAGTTTACAAATCATATTTAAATTTAGTGTCCGTTGTCCGTATTGGAGAGAGTCCGTATTACGGGTTTTTTTTTTTAAAGAAAATATATGAGAATTTTATCGGGACAGTGGAAACTGTCCGTATTAGAGAGGTGTCGGTACCGAGAGGCATTGTTCTTTTTTGAAACGGCAACACTAAACAACAAAACGAAATCAAAGGCTCCTGTGAGCCAGCTCATGGATGAATTCGATAAGTGTAGCAATAAGTCAACAAGACCCTCATAATGGGACTACATTGGTTTGTCGGCGTACCTGACAATTTGTGAGACGGAGTCAGGGCTGTGTATTACTAACTTCTACCAATGAACAAAAATAGGCAAATTATCCTTTTAAAACAAGAAACGATGACGTGACTAGTTTGGTCTAACCTGGTCAACTTTTGGCGTTTTAAAATGCTGTTAAAAAGCAGTGAAGCAAATTATTAAGTTTTAGTTTTGTTTCTGTCTGGTATTGCATTATTAGCTGCTATATGACAGTCAACAATTTATGTATTTACATTCGGCGGAGCTAAACGTAGTGGCAGTGACAGAGAATGTAAATACTTTCTATTGGTATGAACGCACGTGAGCCGCTATGGCGTTAATTGACTCTATTGTTATTAGGTATATAAGGTTTTGACAGTTGTAATGTATTCATCTCAGCTCTCAAATTATCAACTTTTATTTTTATATCTTACTTTATTCATCTATCGATTGATTTTTTACCTTTAACCCCCAGAGGTTGTGCGACCGCATCGGTTGGGGAATACGTCCCCAATTTTTTCCCATTGGGTTTTTGGGTTTTCGTATCAGGCGGCGCACGTGAATAGTTTAGCCTGAGTGACTTTATTTAGGGATATTTGTATACCGTTCTTTACTTATGATGTTGAACTTTGTATGATATTTGGACGGCATTAAACACTCAGGCTCCTTAGTTCGAGCTGCACACCCATTCCCGTCTCTTAGTCGTGAATATAAATAGGAATAGCAATAATTTGCACTTTTAATTTTCAATAGCTGCTCCCGGCTTATTGTTGATTCAAGATTTCCATATGTTTCTTCGTTGCTAGATTTTTTCTAGTTTTCGTAAGTCTGTCGGAATTAGAACTTTAACCAAAACGCTTGAAAAACGTAAGTTTTTTAAAAGAATACCAGGTCGATGGTGAGACATTAAGATTTGATCCTAATTGTTCGCTTCAAAAATAAACATGCTCGTTTCCGTATATCTCTGGCACGTCTGATCCATTACTCGCTCATTTTTGGACACCACCACACTTGGGAAGATTTTCTTGTTCTGCAAAACTTGTGCATCAAAGTTCATCGTTGGCCGCAACCTTTTTCACAGAGTCCTTCTCTCCTCCTCCCTCGAGGATTAGAAAGGGCCCTTGGAACGAAGTTTCGTTGACGTAACATCTTGTACGAGGGCTGCGGCTTCCAATGCAATGAGGGGTTGAGGGCGTTTCAGGAGTGAACAGTGCTGTATATGGTGTTAAGCTGACATTGCTAAGAACATTTTATCAGATATGTATTGTACAGTCTTCTGAGAGCAATGAGGCTGAAATCTAAAGTCTTGATTTTCTCTTTTTAAAATACTACATATAACGTGTATAACTTCTTTGTAAACTTTGTGTTTGAGGCATTTCCTTTTTGTTATCTTTAATATTGCTTTTCGTACATCCTTCGTCCCGTTTGTCAAGATGTTTATTGACCAGTTTGGCTACTGGGCACCGTGTATAACTGCTGTTTATCATGTCAGGTAAGGTACAACCAAATGATCTGCAAGGGGTATTCGCTTTTAGTAATCAACAAAACTATACCCATCTCACTCTCTTCTCCCCAGAGACCTATTTTTGTCGTGAGGAGGTTGGGGAGAGGAAGAAAAGTGAGCGCGCGGAGGATGATGGGAAGGCGAACGAGATGAACATAGGCTACATCCAGTCTTCCTCGCAAATGCGGCGCCGTCTTGAAATGCATGACAGAGCAGAGCAGTCGGCACCAGATCCCATCGGCCTAAACCCTTTGGTCAGCTTATGAAGTTTACAAAACGTAGTATTCTTTATTGCTTCTACACTACACTTAGATGAAATTCTGCTCAGCAAATGTTCATCAAAGGGTATGTCTCTTCAATTTTTAAGGAAAAAATCATTCCGAAGAGCATGAGTGGGTATCGAACCCGGAGTGTAGGTTCAGCAGGCCATCACCTTACCACTAGGCCACTGAGGTGATTTGATTTGAACTTATATAGCAACACTCCTAAGCCTCGATAGAAGCTAACCGTTTCGAGTCAGTGCTTAACCCAAAACACTATTTTCAGGGCTTAACCTTAATCGCCCTAATCAATGCTTAACCCCAATCACTACTTTCAGTGCTTAACCCTAATCAGTATTGCTTAATCCTAACTACTACAACCGAAGCGATAAGGAATCCTAAGTTGTGTAAACCTCATGAGGTGTCCGAGGTGGTTTAGGCCGATGGGATCTAATGCTAACCAAGCAGAGCATAGGCTCTCACATTTTCGACGTTTTGAAATCGACACTCACATGCACATCATTAAGGACTGCTATTACAATGTTAAACCGTGTTTAATGTTGTTAACTATTTAGGTTCTAAACGAGTTTGGCTTTGGAGTGTATTGTAGGGGTTATTATGTGAAGGTGCTGAAATGAACTGCGTTACATAAAGTTCCAAATAGTGCCACATTGTTAATGGTTGTTCTCCTATATATTACTCGCCGTATATGCCCTAGCCTGCATTACATAGCATGACCTAACCCCGTTTTAAACGTGTGCTGTAACGCATAACTGTAGAATCGTCTTCAGTCATTTTTTTGTGAACGCGAGTAGAGTAATGAGCGCCCAGAGCGTTCTCCCGCGCCTTAAGTTTTTTTCCCCTTCCTTTTCAAACGGCAACCACTCAGATGTTATATGTGCTGATACTAAAAATTGTCATAGAGATAATAAATTATCGATTGATTACTGCACGAATTATTTTTCAGTATGAGTGTTATGGAAGGCCTTACTTATAATGAAACTATGTACAGACTCAGGACACTTTACTGGCCAACACTAAAGGCATGCTGGATGATATGGCCCGCAGTCACGGTAAGTGAAATATGCGTCAAGATTACCGGGCGTGGGTTGTAATTCGCCATTTCTAGTTTGCGCACGAGACTTCGTCGGGTGTTTTGTCGAACTGTATTTTGAGACTATTTTGGGGCATCAGCGCTTCTTCTATAACGGAGGGGAGAAGTGTGATATGACGTTACCATGGGACAAAATTTCTGGAATTCAAAACGATCCGCAAAGATCAGCAATGAAAAGTAGGCAAAGCTGAGTCAAGCAATCAGATGTAAGCCCCTGCGGACTGTGAAGCAGACTCGGGGGTCACCCCGTACAAGCTTGCCTGCCTAGGGCTCAACCGCTGACCCATTAGTGATGTCTCGAGGTTAACCTTCAATCGGCGACTCTAACTCTCTCTAACCGGCTCTAATCGTTTAATCTGCAAAGGGTATATCCCATCACGGCAGATGTGCAAATGTGGATATGGTTATGCTCAAATGTAATCATGGTGCCAGGGTTAAGTAAAAAACGTTCCTGGGTCAGCGTTTTTAAGGATGGCACATGACGGCCAGTTTAAAATCCTCCACTGACGTCTTTTCAATGACACTATTTGGTAAAGAGTTCCAGTCTCTGATTGTACGTGGAATAAAACTGTATTGGTATTTGTTTGTTTTGGCCCTAACTTGAATGAATGTCTTAGGGTGAAATTGCCTAGCGCCCTGTCGCCTTTCAAATGATTTATTAGGGTGAAAATTGGATAGCTGATAGACCAGAAATTACTTTAAACATCATTGCCACTTTCCTTCTTTTTTCAAGTGTTGGCCATTTCAAATCATTCAGAATTTTGGTGACAGTTCCAGGAGTAATGCTATATTCATTTTTAACAAAATCTTCCGCTCGTCTCTGCACACATTCTCAATGTCCTTTACCTGTTTTTGCCAGTGTGTGGCTTCCATACGCAACATCCATATTCAAGCTGTGGTCAAACCAAAGCAAGATAGGTTTCCTCTTTTACGTTTTGAAGTTAGTTGAGACACTTCGCCCTATTAAGGGGCTTTCTGACGTCTTACTGACTTCCAAAGGGTAAATGAAAGCTTTTCCTCCCCCATCCCCTACATGCAATGTTGTGCCGCTGTTCGAGCTTTCTATTTAAAATAACAAACACTCTATTTTTGAATGGAGGAGAGGGGGAGGGGTGTGTATTCCTTTGTTCTCTGTAGTTACGCTATTTGAGTACAATGTCTCAACAATTTTGTCGCCGATTTTTGCCTACATTACAGTACCCCACGTTCGATATTGACCACTCCAGAAAATACCATAACATACCATAATGCTCTTTGTTTGTCACCCCAAAATTTTGCATAAGCATTGTCTTCAGTTTCTCTTGGGAGTTAAAATGGGACGAAGAGAAACTGAAAACAATGTATAAGCAAAATTTTGGGGTGACAAACAAAGAGCATTATGGTATGTTAGTATGGTTTTTCTGGAGTGGTCAATACTCTAACATGACTCCCAGGCTTTAGGGACAAAATTGCACATTTTTCACGACTCCATTGTCCCGCAATTCCCAGAAAATACTTGAGCACAAACTAAACGAAATATAGAAATATGACAAGAAAGCCTCCGAGTCACGTTAGAATTTTAACATGTTGAACGTGCGCTATTTAGCCACATTTTAATGTGGCTAAATATTAAAGGCTTCTGTGGCTTCTTAGCCTTCTGTGGCTAAGTATTTCCAGGTTTTCCTCATTAATCTTTTTCTGATTGTCTCTGTAGATTGTTAATTTTAGGTTCATACCAGTTGCTCACCAGCTTAACTTTTGTCTGGCTGTCAGTTTGGTTTGGGCAACAATTTTGAGTGTCATACGAGCCTCCGAAGCAAGCCATGTAAAGGAAATTGAATCTAAAGACACCATATCTATAACAAACCTACTCTGTAGAAGCCACTCAGCAGTGACCATGGAACGATGGTCCTTGAAGGAAGAAGGGGAAAAAAATCCGTTGCGCAAATTTTCGCGGCTGTTATCAGTTGTCCCATTCCTACTGGCTCTCTGGGGATGATGCTAGCCATGCTCCAATTCGTGGTGCCACCTTAGGAAGCCAGCTGGGTTGCGTGCGTTTTTGAGGAAGAGAATTTTATTGTAAATAAGACAGATTGATCATTCTTGAAAACAAAAATACAAATAAAATCTACGTTCTATGAGGCCAGTCTCTATTTTACTTTCTTTGTATATAAGTACTGCTAATATTCGTCCGAATCAGGTAAGCCATAGTCATGTTTTAGCCCCGTCCACTCGGCGAATCCGGACACTTTTCTTTACTCAGATTCTTGTGGACGGAGCCTTAAACTTATCTGGGGCCAATTTAATGAAACTTTTACATGTGTAATTTACAGGTGTAGCCATTGTTTTAGAGTCTGAAAACCTACCTTGTAAATTACACTTGTAAGGGAAGACCTCGTGGTCGGTAGGCGTATTTTGCAGTGCAGAAGACTTGGACGTTGGACTGTCAGAGAGTTGGGGAGAGTCAAAACAAACTTCCAAGGGAGAGGTTGATCCTTAGTTTTCCAGTTGCTTTTATGATTGCGGTCGCGATCAATGTACCTCTAGGTCGCGCCGAAAAAAAAAAAAAACAAACCAACAAACGCCGGCACGGAGCGTGGAAGCCAGGTTGACAAAAGAAAAAAGATAGGATAAGAAAACACGTATAAAAACACGATAGGACGTTACTTTTCCTTTCGCCTGTCTCGCGCACTGTGCTCTCGCGTTTCGTGTTCGACTGCGTGTTTCTTCTGGCTCGCCTGGGTAAGGGTTGATTTGCACTAACGCGTAATTTTTCCGTGCGAACGCACGTAACTTTTACGTGCATAAATGAAATAGAGGCAATGTATGAAAGGCCACTTGTAAAAGTAAAAGTTAAACCTCGCTCAACTTTCACGCGTACTCGTGACCGTCCATACATAGCCTCTATTTTGTTTACGCGCGTAAAATTCACATGCGTACGCGTGTAAAAATTAAGCGACAGTCCGAGAATAACGCTTGCCACACAAACTTACGAGTCCGCTCCCGCGTTTGGTCCATTATTTTAAATACGGTGATGGATGGAACTTAGCTAAAAAATGGGAATGCGAGTAAATGTCTGTAAATGCGTCGACAATAACAACAGTCGGGCGTAAGACTACCGCCTGGCGTGCGCTTATATCCGTTCCCAAGGTTTTCACACACAGTTAAATTTTTTGGAGGGTAAATTCAACAACGCAAGGTGCGCAGAGATCTAGCACAGGGGGTACTCCCCTATGAAAATGATGGGGGTGCTCGTCGTACCTTTTAGGGGTTTAAATTTGTGGATTGGTACCGCTTATTTGTTGTGGTTGAATTGGTACCCCCTAAGGGTGGAATGAATTTGCACACGCCCATAAAACAAGATTCTGGTACCTTTTAGAGGTGTTCTCGAAATTTTCCGATGGGCACCACCATCACTTTTATAGGGGAGTACCCCCCCTTCCCCAGGGGAATCTTGCTTATCAAAAAGACGTTTTTTTCTTTTATCTCGCTGATATTTCTTACTCTTGCCATCAAGACCTTCGCTGATAACTGGCTACCAACCTCATTTTTCCCTAGCTATCGCTTTGAGGTAGCTGTCAAGGGACACTCTATTGTTCTCGAGACATATCCAGGCCCCAGACGATAAAATTTCCCCGAGGTAAGTTACCTAGCGAAAAATCGGTCACACTTAAAAGTTTCCCTAGGTAAACTGCCAACAAGTCGAGTTTCAACCCAGGTAAAAAGTCTGTAGTGTGACCACAGCTAGGAATGATCTGACAGCTCATTCGACGGGGAGCCACATGGGAATTGGAGGTGGAATTCAAATTCCAGAGACGTAGTTGCAATCTTTCCTTCCTTTCCCCACCCCCGCCGCAAGAGAGCCCCGGAGCCGAGCTTGCTAGCAGGCTACAGATTAAGTCTATGGAAATCATTATTGTTGCAAATTCCTGATAATATTTACGTTACTATGCTTGATACCATTAAACAATAAATTTAAACTTACTCTTGTTTCTCACTCTAGGCTTAATTTTAAGGTAGTCATTTGGATCATTAATATTTGAGGGGAGGACTGGGTGATATGATTTTAATTCTGGGGGGCTGGGGTGGGGTATATTTTACTGATGTTGTTATACCTTTTCAAAATTAACGTCACAATTTGCTAATCACGAGTAACGATGAATTATACATTTGCTCAACAGCGACTGTTAAGAGCGATGATATATGGATCGGGAACTGCTCCACTCGCTCATGTACATTTTAACTTTCTGGAATGGCTAGTTGTAAAGAAGGTAGGAAATAGACTATACTTGCTACAAGTCGACCTCGTTCTTATCCCGACCGAAAAAAAAGCGTGTGAAGCGAGCGTCATCAAGGTCGCTCAGCGACTGAGCAAGCGACAAAGTCGCGAGGTTATCATGACATCACCGGTGAATTTTTCAACCAGTAAATTTCGCGCCAAACAGGTAAGAAAACGGTCCTTTAAAAAGGCATAACCAACTAGGAAAAAAAAATTAAAGGACTTTTAATTAGAAAGTCTAGAAATAGACTTAACGTGAAAGTACCTAGTTTCCTGGAAAATACTTTTGTGAGCTTAAAACAGCCAAATCTGCACATAAAATGACAAATCGGGTGAAAAAAAAATCGGAACATTTTCGATTAACTCATGCATTCTCACTAACAGCCTACGCTGTCCCTGGTATCGCTTGTGACGTCATCAGTTTGAACGGTTGTAGACAATTTTGATATCCACGGCTCCTGATATATATTATGTCTATTATTAAGACCAATTAAACTGGCGCAGGCCAGGGAAGAGATATTTCAAACAATATCAGCCGCTTATCCGGATGAGCACAATTCAGTCAAATAGACAAAAGAAAAATGCAAAAAATCACGTCAAGTTGACCCAAAAACTGCAATGAATCTGAAAAATGTCCTATTGCATCTTAAATCCCACGATCCTATTCCCCACAGAAATGAAGCCTAGAAATGTCCAGCAAAGGGAAAAAACTGGGCAAGAAAAGCGGGAGAAGGGAGAAGAGAGAAAGCACAAAGAAAAATTTGGCGTTCTGCCCATCCCCAAAATTCAGAACCGTATGTTTGCTAGAAACAAAGAGCAGCGTAATGCTTAACATGAGATCGGGCCCAATTTTAGCCGCTTTCATACCAAGGCCGTAGCTAGAAATTTTTGACTGGGGGAAATAAAGCGAGGTCTGGAGCAATGCTCTTTCAGAAAATCTGAAATGAATGCAGCGGCATGGAAATACCAATTTGTACATAGATATGCCGTCCAAGTAACGTTAGTAAGTCAAAGTTTAAAAGGATACGTTCTTTTAGAGCATAAGGTTTTGAAAACTATTGATTCATCAATATCTGACCAGATCGCGGTCTAGGATGTCTCCAGATGGATTTCCCTCTGAAAATTAATATCGTCATCAGTCAATAGTCCAGTTTCGAATTGAAAATTACCGCTGAATACGAACATTAACGACACATTCATACAGGGTTAGCCTCGACTTAAAGTAAAATATTCAGAAATTCCGGCAAGTAAGTGTTTGAAATTTGAATATACACTGATAGACAGAGAAATATACAGGTCTTTCTCTTGTTGGAATTTGTAAATATATATTACTTCAGATGGAGGCTAAGCCTGTAAAAAATGCGTCTTCACTTCCTTAATTCAGCGGTCATAGTGAACTCGAAACTGGACTATTGCAGTTTTCGAAGTTAATCATGGCATAGAGTCAACGATATAAAGACTTACTCAGGGAACCCAGTTAAAACGACGCGGGTTCGGACCTTTGCGCAAGTTATGTTTCATTGGCTGATATAAATGGTCTCAGATTCCGGTATGTGTTCCGTCCCACGTTGAATGAGGAAACGAGGAGCATCCCTAGGCCACGTGCACTCAAGCGATCCTCATTCATTGCAGAACGGTTCCACAACAGCCCATGTTCGATATATTAAATTCTAACATGACTCTGATTCTTTCTGGACATTTTTCTATATTTGGTTTTGTTTTCTTTGTGTTCAAGTCTCTTCTGCGAATTGCGATACAATGAATTTTGACCCTAAAGGTGACGCTACACGGGACGATTCGCAACGACGATTTTCACGGCAACACAACGTTGCAATGTTGGAACAATGTTGTAACTATTCGAAACAATGTAGCAACAATGTTGCAATGCTGTGTTGCGCTAAAAATCGTCGTTGCGAATCGTCTCGTGTAACATCACCTTAAGGCCTCGGAGTCATGTTAGAATTTTGATTTATTGAACGTAGGCTATTTTAGACGCCTCAGAGAAGAAAATGAGCGTTCACAAATAATACTTTCCATGGGTGTAGTAAGAAGAACGGTAACGATCTTGTGAATGGCTACCAATCGCTACTCTTCTCAGGGTTTCGCTAAATATTAATCACGTTTCAACCTACCACATACGTGAGACACTTTTCTATTAGAACGTTCAGCATGAAATTTGCCAAAAAATTTAATTTAAAAGAACATGCTAAGAAGATACACAAGGCTCAGAAGAACAATTTTTTTTCACTGCTTTTACTTTCCTAAATCCAGAGAATCTGAATTACCATACAAAGTTCTACATGAAGAGCGCAGGTAAAATTTTGTTCTTTCAACACATGTACATTGTACTCGTACAATTTATTAAAATAAAAACTACAACTATTATCTTATCTTGCTTTTTCTGTATGTCTACATGTGAGATTTCCGTTATTGAAATTTAAGAACACCCGTAAGAACATTTCTAGGTTGAAACTGCCCGGAAAATAAGAACAGTTTAGGCATAACTCGAAAATGGGCGTTCTTATAAAAAAGAGGTTGTGGCAGGTAGAAAAAAACTGTTTACTGCTTTTTTTTTCACGAATGCCAAGTTACGACATTAGTTACACGGTATTACAAGGTTTTAATTGATTCTTTAGCTATAAAAAATTGTGAAAAAACTTTTCTTAAAAACATTCAAGAAATTGTTGAAAAAAGTTAGAAAATATACGACGTTTCGACGTTCTCGGACGTCATAATCAAGTAAAAAAAATACAGTGTGATTGTTCTATAAATACAAGAAAAACAATACGAGTAACTGATTGAGTCACTCTGAGTGTTAAGGCTGGGCCTCAAACTATCTAGTAAGCTTTTTGTTCCACTTCCTCGCTTAAAGTTGTGTAATCCAAATCACCCCCATCATTTGCTTGGAACTCCAGTGATAAACCAGTGAAGGACTTTTTGATGGTGTCTTTCGAAGATGCGTATATCATTTTGTCTCCAATCCTTGCATTTTCGTCACACCTAAAGGGAAAAAGGGAAATGAGATGAAACGGGCTGGCTCAGCTCATGCCTTGTTTCCTTATAAAATTGTTGCTGTGTTTATATGAGAAGGCCGGCTGCCCCGTTTGCCGAGATCGTGGTTGCTTGAAGGAAGATCTCAGCAAGCGGGCCAGCCGGCCTTCTCATATAAACACAAAAACAATTTTGCAAGGAAACAAGGCATGAGCCGAGCCAGCATGGTAAAGCAGGCCAGGCTAGCTCACCTCATATATAAAGTCCCTAAGTAGAAATGAGTACCAGGTAATAAGGGTGTAATCATACAAACTAAAGCTAAAGAGATGTACCCAACACATTTTTGATTTAATAATCTCTTGATGAATGCATACATCAATTCAGGGAGCAAGGGTGGCTCTATGGTGAGAGCAGTGGTTAGAGCACACACCTCCCACACCAATGTGGTCCAGGTTTAAATCCCGGCGTCGACTCAGTATGTTGGTTGGTTTAGTTCTTGGTTCTCTGCACGGAGAAGGTTTTTTTCGGGTTCTCCGTTTTTTTTCCTCCAGCAATCTAGTTTTCACTGGGTCGTAAGTGATGGATTCATAAGCAGAGTCAGAAGAAAATAGAAATGTTCTGATTATTCTGACTCCAGTTCTGCAGCCTACGTGTCAGGTGTTCGAAACGGGGAAGGGACGGGAATTTTAGGGGGGTGGGGAGGAGGGGAGCGCCTGCAAGAGCGCCATTATTGTCACTACCCGCCTACTTATTATGTATGCAAAAAAACGCAACTGTAAACGTCTAACCATCTGTTACTGTTAGTTAAGGTATTCATTATTTTTACATCTCTCTGGTAGATGTGAAAATGGAAAAGACCATAGCGTCCTTGCAGGCGTTCCTTACACTCCTCCTCGAGCGCCTTTCTGCCACGCAGACAACCAATTCTGTAGACTTACCTTAAGTCGACTGCGTGAGCGCCGAAGGCGCGAGGAATGCTGGCGAAGCGAGCAAAAGCGAGCGACGAAGTATTCTGTTGCACTTATAACTCCGCTTACGATTCAGAGTTTTGATTTTCACTAGGTTAATAACTTATTTTGAAAATAAAATGTTCTTACAACTCTGACTCTGTTTAGCAAGTAAAATCCAGCCTAAAATGTTTTGAGGCTAAAGGAAGATTTTATGCCCGGTCACGAATTAAAAATGCAGAGACAACCTTACTCACCAAAAGATGAATGCCAACTTATTAACTTTCCTGCCATCCTTCTTCATAAATCCAAAATCATACAAAATATATCGTGGCTCTTTGCTGAGTTGCTCCTTCATTTTATTAAACTGTGCCTCATCTTCTTCTTTTGCTTCTGTTTTGCATGGATCACCACACACGTCAACAACAATTTTCTTCTTTCCTTCAATTTTAAAGAATGCAAACTTGTGTGTGCTTCTCAACCTCATATCATTAAACAAACCGTTGATTTCAGCATCGAGTTGTACCCCAGACATAGACTGTATCAAGAGAACATAAAGAATAAAATTAATAATCTAAAAAACCTTATTAAGGTATCAAAACTGCTATTAAGCCAAAAATTGGTCAGGCTTATAAAATTGCTTATTTGAAATGTACTCCCAAACTGAACACAAATTCCAAAAATGAAGCATTTTTGTTCAATTGAAATGGAGAAAATTAAAACCAAAGTTGGTATCTAGAGGGCTAATTTTGAAATCTGATTGATTTTCTAATAAGCTAGGGGAAATAACAACCAAATTGGCAAACATTGTGCTTCCTCAAATAAAAAACGACTGCTTTGATCATTCCTAATCACTCCCATGACTGAAAAAGCCTGGCCGAGGATGTCAGTCAGGTTCGCTGTTTAGTGAACAACGACCTCTTTCTGCTATTCTGTCGCGCATTTATAAAATTAAGAGTTTACAACGGCCATCTACAATTTCAGCAAAGTACTGTAACTACTCACCATTGTGATAATTGATCGTGACTTTAATTTTCAAAACACCTTGAAAACAAAATAGTCATTGTAAAAATTAGTTGGGTTCCAGCAAACAAATCTGCAAATGGATGTTTAAAATAAACTTTGTAGTGAAAAGGTGTACATCGCGAATAGCACCTCATGGTGAAAAATCTTTAAATACTTAATCAATTGTAGAAAATTTTGACAACTTGAGCTTTCCGCTCCTGATGTGATAATTAAGCGTTTGGATTCCAAAAAACTTAGAACAAAGTTTAGTACCGCTCCTTACCAGTAACTTGTTTCTTGACAGCTTGTAGCTCTTCCAACTCTATGGCTTGATAAAAACTTTGCTGCAGTTGCGTATATATATGTTCCCGGTGTGATGTAATATTTCTATATTTACAATTACCCATTTGATCAAGATTGTGGGGTTTCTGCGAAATCATTTACTTCAAAACGAGCTCAGTGCATCCTTTTAAGGAAAATAAACCGTGCCATGGGAATTGCGCAATGATACAAATTTACATAAAATTGAATATTACAAACAGTTGATATGTTGTTGTTTTACAGCGTTAAGGCACATTGGTGCCCGGCGTTAGAAGCGTGAACTATATAAACCCTCTCGTGCAGCAATATGTCTCTTCTAATAATCAATTTTTAAATTTATTTTACTGAGGGCAAATCGAACTAACGAACGAAAATGTGAAAATTACTTATGCTGACCGAGCAACTCCGGGTATAAAGAGTTGATTGCGCACATAAGGTGTATTATCTCCTTATATGGCGTATTTTACAAATTACTAGATTTTTTAAAGAATAGTATGATATGGGATAAAGTTTTGCTGGTAACGTCATAGTCTGTAAAACAGACATGTACTTTTCAATAAATCTGAGAAGCTTAATTCCTATGTACCGGACAAAATTAACGATTGCATTTCATGTTAGCAATGTTTACCTCATAAGATGTGTCAGTATTTGCTACCTAGCGTTCAAGGTTAAAAGTACATTTAAGGTCTCTAGATCTAGCTCGATGAAAGAATCAAAGTACGTGAGGCGAACGAAGTGTCCAAAAATTTCCCACAACCTTGCCGTGTTATATTCCCGTAATATTCGACTATAAACTGACATTCTGAAAAATGTTATGATCGCCGAATGTTTTAGTAGAGTGAGAGTCCTTTGCATACGAATAATAAGTATAGAGCTTTCCCTAAATTTCTACCGAAAATATATATTATATGGCTTGAAAAAAGGATGTTACAGTTATTACGTAGCTTATCAAAAAGCTTTAGATTCAAAGTAAGGGTCCATTTCTTCGAGACAAAAGACAACCCGCATCGCGTGGGCTATTACATGCTCTATGATTTTAATCAACATTACCAAAATAGGAAACGACAGTCGCATCTGTGTGTCACGCCACGCCTAAAAGGTAAGCCGTGCGAAATATATAAAATTCAACTTTGTTGGGCGTTTTGAAAGAAAGTACAAAGATAAGAAAACCCTGTCTTCCGTTTAGAGAGATTCTACAGAAAACTTTACGGTTTCATGATCAGTTACGTGAGTTCAGTTTTTGCGTTGCGTAATACGTCATGGTACTGTACAGACTGTAAGCTACTGTAGTATGTGAAGAACAAAACGCTTATGTACTTCATAAAGCACACTCTCTTGTTTCCGAAGTTTGGATCTTTAGTAATTTCATGGATTTTCCGCAAAACAGTCATGAAAAATGTAATGAATGTAGGTGAAGCTTGACTCGGTAGCTATAGCGTGACATCTTTAAAAGAAATTGCGTGATCGCGTAATCCTGTGCTGGAGGCGAGTCGTCTCAAAGTGCCCGGGGGCTGGGGGGTGGGGGGCAATTGGGTATTGTTTGGGTGAGTATGTGCCGCCCGGACTCCAAATTGGCACCCCGTTCTAAAAAAAAATTCCCCTAAAATTGATACCCCGTTCCAGAAATGGGCCAATTTTTTATATCCCGTTCTAGAAAGTTTGTAAATTGAAATAGCCCTGTTTTTTTAAAAAGATATTTCTTTATTTGTTCGACTTATACATGAAATAAATGCTTCTTCATAATCAGCAACAATTTTAAGCAGAAGATGAAGCCGTGATCCACAATTTTTTATACTCCGTTCCAGAAAACGCCTCTAAAATGGATACCCCGTTCTAAATCAGGAGCTTCAAAATCACGACCCCGTCGGGCGGCACATACCCGTATAGGTAATGTATGGGAGTACCCCCCCGGCAAAGTGCGTTTCACGTTTGATTAATGATATGAGACGATAGAACTGGACTGGGCTCTTTTCTTTTTATAAGAATATATTTTATAGGAATTATGAGGTTGAAAGTTGGGAAATTTTAAGAATATTTTAGGAGTAACCGAGGCTGAGATTTTGAAAAGGATATATTTTTGTGTGTTGAAAATCTGCAAATACAATACAAGTTAGTACATGTTTTTAACTTAATTGTATCAGGAAATTGTTCTTTTCGTTAAACGGCAACACTAAACAACAAAACGAAATCAAAGGCTCCTGTGAGCCAGCGCATGGATGAATTGGATAAGTGTAGAAAAGACAGTTCAATAAGTCAACAAGACCCCCATAATGGGGATTCATTGGTCCGCTGGCGTACCTGACAATTTGTCAGTCGGAGTCGGGGTTGTGTAGTAACAAAAATAGGCAAGTTAGCCTTTTGAAACAAGAAGCGATAAAGTGACTAGTTTGATCTAACCAGAAATTCCAAAAATTATTGTCGTTCTGCGTTTATAAAACGTGACAGGGTCGACTTTTGGAGTTTCAAAAAGCAGTAAATTATTAACTTTTAGTGTTGTTTCTGTCTGATATTGCATTAGCTGCTATATGATAGTCAACAATTTTAACAATAATTTTTGCACTTTTAATTTTCAATCGCTGCTCCGGTGTATTATTGATTCCAAGATTCCATATGTTTCTTCGTTGCTAGATTTTTTCTAGTTTTCGTAAGACTGTCGGAATTAGAGTTTTAGCCAAAACGCTTGAAAAACGTAAGTTTTATAAAAGAATACCAGCGGGTGGTGAGATATTAAGATTTGATTCTAATTGTTCGCTTTAATAATAAACATTCTCGTTTCCGTATATTTCTGGCACGTTTGATGCATTACTCGCTAATTTTTGGACACCACCACGCTTGGAAAGATTTTCTTGTTCTGCAAAACTTGTGCATCAAAGCTCATCGTTGGCCGCAACCTTTTTCACAGAGTCCTTCTCTCTTCCTCCCTCGAGGATTAGAAAGGGCCCTTGGAACGAAGTTGCGTTGACTGGTAAATCTAATGACGTCATATCCTGTACGAGGGCTGCGGCTTCCAATGCAATGAGTAGTCACTTGAAGGGATAGACGAGAGGGCCCTTCCTAGATCCTGAGACTGGGACCGAGTTATACGATCGCCGAGTTTAATCGCCGAGTAAATCTTCGTTCTGCATCGATCACCGCATCGCAATGGCCAAAAAATGGCGCGTAAAGGAGTCAGAGTGAATACTCGCGGGCGTATTCAAAAAGATGCGATTTGATTTATTTTGTTTCTTGTTTTTTTCATCTAAAATATACTTAACATTGACCTATTCGTACTTCGAAAAATATTACTGGTTCCCGCCACTGATATTAAACGGAAAAAGGCGAAAAACTACTTGGGGTGACAAATTATTTTTCTTCACAAATATTAAAACAGATAGATTTGAGACTTATGACAAGGTGCTGTTGAAATAAACGAATATACCCCCTCAAAGCCAAAAATGGAAATTGTTTTTGTCTTCCTTATCTCTAAGCAGACTAGGGTTCCCTGACCTATCCCTACAAGGGATAGACGACAAGTACCTCTCCGGAATTGGACGGCCGGTCCTATACTCTGTGAAACATTAACCAAACGCGTCCGAAAGAGCGGGAAAAATAAAATCCAAACAAGAGTAGGCGTATTGCAGTAGCTGTTTAGGGAAATTAGCAGGGGGGAGGGGGGTGGAAATTTTAAATTTGGGTTCGGAAATGAGGTGACCCATCCCTGCAATGGGAGTGAAATTTGCTAACCCTCCCCTTGACCTTGCCCTAAAATATCATGACCCTCCCCCTCTTGTATAAATTATAAAATCTAGGGCTTGCAATACACTAGGGTGAGTCAGTAGGTATTATGAAAGATCAAAATATATTTCTAATCTGTTCTTTGTAATGCCATATACACAGATTTTAGATGACAGCATTAAGAGTCCCATTCTGATTCTGACAGCTGATCACTCGACTCTCCTATTTCTCCCAAGTTTTTTTTACAAAATAAAGAACTTATTTTTTCTTCTGTGGGTGAACCTCTACATGATCAGGGACACATATTTGCATGACCCTCCCCCTTTTAACGGCCCATTTTTCATGACTCCTCCGTTTTCTGCAGTCTCAAAAAGTTGTGACCCTCCCTCTGTTTCCACCCTCCTCCCCCCCTGCTAATTCAGGGGCGGATCTAGGGGGAGGGTGCAAGGGGTGCGCACCCTGCCCCTCGCTCTTCGCCGCCGGGGACATCGGCGAAGAGCGAGGAGAAACGGATGTTTTCGCAGGTTATTGGTGTTGAAGTAAAGCAAGAGACGAGTGCACCCCCTCCTAAAAAAATCCTGGATCCGCTCCTGTAATTTCTGACTAGTCTCTTAGACATGTCTTTGGAAAACAGACCTGGAAGTTTTTTGTTCGTACCAGATGTAAAATCAGCATGAGTTGGATACGACAACAAGTTTTGTTATGTACTATATATACAACAAAGGTTTAGGCGAAGGTAAGCTTAAATGTACGGTCAGTGTATTCTGTGACTTTACTAGTTATTGGTTTGTGTACACCAAAATGGAATATCCGGATGCAGAATATTGCACTTGGCACAGAAGAACCCTTTTTTTGGGGGGGGGGGGGGAACAAACAAAAAAAATTCCTGGCAATACCATAATAGGTTTTTAAATACAAAACAAACTAACAGAATAATAATGATGATAATAACAACAATGTTAATTGAATAATGCATTAAATGAACAATAAACTTAATATCCAAATAAAAGACAAAAAAATGGAAGAAAGGTTTGAAATATCTTGACAAAAGCGGTTGTGATTGTAGGTGCCCTGGGCCAAAAAATGTTGTGCAGCCATATAAAATTCAGAGGGATGAGGAAAGTTGCCTTCACTCTTCATGCCTCCTGCCTGCTGAAAATGGCTACAGGACACTGATAAAATCTATACCAGGGTCAGTTCAGAGCAGAAACATAACCTTACAGAAAAAAATGAACTGTGAAAGTTTATATATATGTACAATTTTATATTAAGATTAGGCCTTGCTTTGTTCCACAAAATGAGCAAATGAAGGGGAAGAAGGTGTTTTTTGAAGATCCTCAGTCTGTAACCTCCCAATCAAGGATCAAATATGATGGAATTCCATTCATCAGAACAGGAAAACGAGTATATGATTGCCATCAGGGCATTGACAGACATGCAGCAGATAAAGAAAGAAGGAATACTTCCAAGGTTATTTTCACTTTTTTTTCAGTTAAGGGACTGGTCATTATTTATGTAGGGGGGGAGAAGGGGGGGTCAAGGCTGTTTTAGATTGGCTAGAGGGGGGGCTAATTTTTTTCCTTAATTAATAGGGGGGTCATGATTTTTAGGTTTTGCAAGGAGTCTTGTCTGTGCTTGAGCAAATAGGACTACTTTTACGAAATAAATTAACTTCAAAGATGCAGGTGGTGACGATGGACAACCCAGTTAGAAGAATATTGTCAAAAACTTCATTGCTTTAATATTTCACACTTTAATAAAAGACAAATCCAGATCAGCCTGTTTACAAAGGCAACATAGTTAAAATTAGGAATCAGAAAGTGCAGAAGCAGAAGGGCTACAATGACTGTGCACTCTTTGCTATAGCCTTTGCCACCACTCTATGCCATGGTGGTGACCCCACCACCAAGAGATATGACCAGAGAGCCATGCGCCCGCACCTTGTTGATTGCCTGGAGTCTTCAAGGATGACCGAGTTCCCACCAACTGATGATACAGTTGAGCTTGTTCATCCTGTGGTAGGCAAAAATATACCTATTTACTGCACATGCCGATTGCCTAACAACAACGCTGCTTATGTCAAGTGTTGTGGATGCTGTGAGTGCCCGGGGGGGGTACTGCCATATATGGGCTATATAGGTATGTGCCGCTGTGAAGGGTATGGTTTTCAAGCAGTTTACTCTAGGATAGGGTATATAAATCAGAGCGTTTGGGTCTAGAATGTCTAGAATAGGGTATCATTTTTCAGGAAACTGATCATTTGGTTGAAGATTTTATCTAGACTAGGTAAACAGCTACTCTAGGATAGGGGGATTTGGGGAGTTTACTCTAGTATAGGGTAGCAATATTCAGCTGAACTAGCTCTGGTATAGGTTAAGGGTTCCAGGGTCCCAGCGGCACATCCCCACCCAGAAATTCCTAAAGTACCCCCCCCGGGTGTGAGTGGTACCATTCAGATTTTGCTAATATATCCCGGAATCTGCATTCCATCCAACAACAAAATGGTTGTGCTTTGAATGCAACCAGAAAAACACAAACACTTAAACTCATGTGATATCAAAACAAGTCTTCCTGTTGTTAGCAAAAACCTTTATCCTTTTTACGGTAGATGAAGCAATTTTTTCAGGAAACCTTATGTTACATTAACATAAAATAATAATTACACCTGTAACAAAGTATTGATTAGGTTATTGTGGCTGTACTAGAAATATTGTGTAAATTTAAAACTTGACATACATTGAAAGCTTCTTTCTCTGGTTTGATCAGTTCAATAAACAGCAGAGACAGAACTTTTTTTCTCAGCTGTTACGAAAAAAAAAAAACTTAAGGGTGGAAAAACCGCCAATTTTTATAACTTCCAAGGATCTAAGGAAGAAATTGGATGTGAATTTTAAGCCTCAGGAGAATCTCTTCTCTTTGATAAATCCTTTCAGAGGAAACAAATTGTTTATATTTATCACAAACAATGAGTCACATGCCTGTGGCTAATGAACAGTCAAGCCAGAAAAAACAAAATTAATACAAGGTAATGCAAAAAGCAACCACCACAACTTGGCATACTAACAGATTGTTGTATCCCTCCTTTTGTTAGTGGCACTGGTGATTAAGTTATTTTGAATAACTTTTGTATGTGAGTTCTATCAATCATGTGTTGGATGGTGTCATGTATAGGCGAGCAATGAGCAAAACACCCATGTCCATTATACTTCTACAATATGTAAACCATTGAATAAAAGGTTTACTATCCAACTAAATAAAATCACATCATGTTTGCTTTGTCCAGTCCTTGCATGCTGTTGTGTGCGGTCATTGTGTGTGCTTTGTCCTCCTTCAATGGCAGAAAAAAATTGGGCTATCACATTTAATAGCCACACCCTCTTCCCGGTTGACAACATATAATAAACTTCCTTCTTACTCCTGAGGAATTCTACTAGACTGCATTCACCCGCGAGACTTTCTTAAGATATGAATTTACCCCTGAGGAACTTATTGAACAGTACTTTTTTTCCTAATAAAATTCCATGAATTCTTTGTTTACCCTGAATAACTCCAATGTTTAAGACTATTCCTCAAGGATTTCCAAAACTATTACAACATACCCTCTAGAGAATTCCATTGATCTTTGCTCACTTCCTTAACCAAAGGGGAGTGCTGATATCAATTATGCAATAGTCCATTTCAAACTGGGATTGTACATTGCAATACAGAATTTGCACATTCT